TTGACGTAATTCTTTTGATATGTGTCAAAACGTGTGGTTACGATTTTCTCAATTTTAAATTAATTGCTGGTATGACATATAGGGTATTCCATTTAAAAAAAAGAGAAAATCTTTACCCCTTATTTTGAAACACCCTATTTACAACATAGCAAATAAATTAAGTCTATTAAAGTTGTTTGACGATGTGAAAATAATTAAATATAAAAATGTATAAGTTTGTTCAGCCCCTCGTTTATGGACCACCCTGTATATTTAAGAATATTTATTAAACATGGTCATACAACTTTTATGTTAATTTGTTTTTCCTATTTCCAATAATAAAACAGCACTATTGGTATCGTTGGATAGGTAAATTTATAAGGAATTTTATGCGAAAATAATATACAGTGTGTTGCATTTGACAAAATTGAGTAAATTGAATTTAAAATTCGCCATATTTAAGATAGGTGTCAAAAGACTCTGTATAAAATAAATTAGTTCTATCACCTCGGAAATGGAAAAGGTCTATAAAGATCAACTAGAAGTCCCTTTTTTGTGTCAAATGGCTGAAGAAATATTTATTAATCTTAAATTTTATGAAATATAGGGTGTTCAAAAAGTTTTGAATAAAAGTATTTCTTTAGCCCTTCATTCTACACTAATGGGTTATGGTAATTTATCGAAATAATAACGTTTACCTATCATATACATATTTTTAAGTTAAAGTCTTTTCTGTAAGGGAAGATATTTAGAAAATATGTATTTATTAAAAATTCACTTTATCTCCCTGTAGAATGAAAACTGGTACGTTTATATTTATATTATATTTAGCTTTTCTTTATAATTGATTAAGATCTACAAATCCCCAAAATTACGGTACTTTATTCTGAAACACCCTGTATAAATATATTAAAAATTAAAACTTCATTATAAAACTAACTCTTTTTTCTGGAAATACACATATGAACTCTAGACATTGCATTGGTACCATATTCTAAGAGAACACGAGGCGCATTCACCAATAATGTCAGAAGTGTTACCCCCCCCCAACAAAACAACCTAGCTACGCGCTTGAATGTATTTGAGTGACAAAAATGTTCTAGTACTTGCAAATCATTGTATTTAGCCTGGACAACGTCGGTTTTTTAACCATTATGATATTTTTAAATGTCTTATTATTCGGACCTCGTTTGTTTTTTTGGTTTACAATTTAGCATGTGTTTGGGACTCGGTATCACCAACATAACAAGTTGGTTCCTTAAAAATTCCTATAAAATGGGCATCGTTGGTTTTTCCCGCTAACCCTTCAAATAGTCTCTGAGTAAAATAGACTGAGAACTAGAGGCTGCAAGATAGTACCACCGTACTTCCCGTGAAATTTTGTGAAGTGGTAGGCGGGGCCATTAGGAAGTGTCATCTGCAAGGATTTAGTTTAAAACCCCGACAATAGAGACATCAGACAACTTAAATTTGTAAAAAAATATGGGATAGAAAAATTACAATACACTTATTTGATTAGATAACTCACTCTATATGCGATGTTAGCTCAGTTTGTTAAGTACTGAACGAGCAGTCGAATGTGCATGAAATTTTTTTATTTTTATTTTGTTTATTTTGAAAAAATATGAAAATTGAAAAAAATACCTTTTATAGTCCAATTAAATAACGAAAAAAAGCCCCTTCGAGCTTACATTAATTTGTAATTGGATGAAACAAAGTGGACCTTGTGTATTTTGATGTGATCTTTCCGAAAAAAAGAAAAAAATGATGTAGCTGTTTTTGAATTTTTTTTAAATTAGGAAAAACCGGGTTTTCCGGAATTTTCCATAGTAAAAATGCTAATTATCTGGGCAAGTATCATTCTGATAGTAAAAATAAATGCACCAATCGAAAGAGGAGGCAAAAATAGTTCGGAATTTCATTGCACAGGTAGTTTTAATGGCGAATTTCTCGCCGCCAGAAGTGCTTTTACCAAAAAGTAATTTTTTCGTTTCTTTGATCAGAATCATGAACATGAAATTTGCGATGAATTTGTGGCGAAATTATAAATGTTAGATATATGTGCCCATGAGAGAAGTTGCGTATTTTTTTGTGTGCTCTCAAATAAAATAAGTCCCGCGGCGAAATCTGCCATAATTTTTCGGGAATTCCCAGGAAACCGGAAGGCGTAATTTTTTTTAAATTTTTTTCTTATATGATTTTCTCCGGGTTTTCCGAAAACATCTAACAAAAAATGTATTGGGAGAAACTAACTGCGCCATCGGAAAGAGCACAAAAAAATATACAAAAAGGTATACTTTAAAAATGTTAGGAAATTAATCCTAAGCTTGAGTGTAAGTTCCAACTTGGTGAAAAAGCTTGTTTTTTGTTCTCTAACATCTGGTTTTCTTCTTGGTTGATGCTCCATCCTCCTTTTTTTGGCATTGTCGATCGCGGCCCTTTTATGCCTATCCCAGGTTTTATAAATAAACTCTTTTCCGTAACGTCGAGCTACGTAATGTTTGCGACACCTCTCATGCAATATAAAACCTGGTTCTAAAGAACTGAAAAAATTATCCCCTATCTCTTTGCTGACCATCTGCAGACCTTTTAATCCTGTCGGTCTAATTGGGGTAAGTTCACCCTCTGCAAGTTTCTGATGACATAATAAACACAGGCCAGCCATTGCAACCTGGAAACAAAAAAATTATAGCACTGTGATAGAATTTTCTTAATTTAAGAACGTACTTACTCAATAAATTGCTGAAGAAGTCCGAAAAACCAAGTGTACACAGAGCTTGCTGAACACGGTTATTAAAAATCTATGCCGATTAACACTATCAAACGATTTAATTTGTAATAATATGACCGTTTCAAGTTTAAACTTGTCGGATAGCGAACGCCGAGACCATGGCTATCCTTGATACGACGTCCGGCTAATTTTGCGGTAATTCTATTTTTTTGCACAAAACTCAAGAAACGTCTTATAACAAGTCAGTAAAATACAATTTAATTAATTTTAGGCCTAATCAATTTAGGTATGTAAGAAATTTAAAACTGGAAATCACAAAAAAATCAAATTACAGAAATGCACGAGTTTTGGATCCCGCGGAGCGCGTGTAATGGGACTTTTGTCGGGAGAATTCTACAACTTAGAAGAAACATACTCACTTTAAACTTTGTATACACATTCAGAAGACATGAGATTTGGGTTTGCTTAATTTTCAGACCAAAAAACTGAAAATCGTCAATTTTAGGCAACTTTTCTCAAAAACCGTGTTTTTTGGTCGTCGCTCAATGAACAGTGGTCAAAAAAATAGATAAAATATTTTTGCAGAATTTTCCGTAATGTAATCGTATTTTAAACATAATAGAGTATTAAAAAAAAAAAGTTTTGAGTCATTGGGTGCATTTTCGGCATTTTTGTGCCACTTCAAACTTTTGAAAAAAAATTTGTTAAATTGTTTGATATCTTGGCCAATTATAATCCGATTTTGGTAAAATTCACACACTTATAAGAGTTCATATTTAAGAGTAAGCTCTGTAAGTGGCAATAAAAAAATTAAAATAGTTTGGCCGTTATAGGCAAACAATGAAATTAGGCTTGCGGTACACTTTGCCCTTCCGCCATATGCCCAATTTTGGGATTTCTCTTGCACCCTTCTGGAAATCAATAGTCACTTCCCTTAAGTTCAAAACGAATTTTTGTTTTTTCAAATATCTTAATTTTTACCAAAGTTATGAAGAATTTAGTGTTTGAACATTTAACAAATTCAATTTTTCGACCTTCGCCGCCTCAAAATACTAAACAAATTTCAATCGTCCATACCGCGAGAACGGTGCATCGGATCAAAATTTCTAAGGAGACATAAAAATTAGCATTTTTTCTAGGCTTTCAAATGTCGTAAACTGCGTTTTAAGAATATTGGTTTATTTGCAACATGCGCATGCGCAAAATTGAAAAATTGACAAAATCCAAAATTTCGGCACTTTCGAAAAACTGCTACATTATGTTTGCCTTTTTTCGAAAAGATCACCTCAAAATACATAAAATCCATTTTGTTTCATCTAATTACAATTTAATGTAAGCTCAAAACCGGTAATTTAATTCGATTATTATTGTTGATTATTTATTTTAAATACATTTTATTTATCATTTCACAAAATTCCAGCCGGAGGTACTATCATACGACATTGCAGCCGTTATACAGTGAGAATCTTATGTCTTACCCCCCCTAACTAACTCGTTACTGGAGTCTTGTTAGGAAAATCGCCGAGACAGGTCGATTTTTGTTTTCTACATTGTACATTTTTGTATAAATAGTTTACCCTTAATTTCATCCCTTACTGGAGGGGAGCAACCCTTTCGAAAAATTTAAATGGCATGGGGTGGTGAGTGATAGCTCATTTGAAAGAGGGTTTTATTTTCTATTCAACCATGTAAAAAATTTTGAAATTTGCTTCATTAATTCTCGACTAATTGTTGTTTCAGAATAACGGAAATTAACGTAGCACACTCATCCTTAGAATTAAAATTCGGCCCTGCATGATTTCGGTTTTGGTTCAGACGTGAAGTAAGACTTTTTGCCATTAGAAGGTCACTATTAGTTTAGTTGCTTTCCTATTTTGTGAGATTTTGTTATTTTTAAACATGAATAAATCAACACGTAATGAAGCAAATATTAAATTTTTTTGCACGATTGAATAGAGAATAAACCCCCCTTTCAAATGAGCTATCACTTACCACCCCATGCCATTTAAATTTTTCAAAAGGGTTGTTTCCCTCGAGTAAGGGATGAAATTAAGGGTAAACTAATCATACAAAAATGTACATTGTAGAAAACAAAAATCAACCTGTCTCGGCGATTTTCCTAACAAGACTCCAGTAACGAGTTAGTTAGGGGGGGTAAGACTTAAGATTCTCACTGTAGTTTAAAACGCATGTGACAAACGGACGGATAGACACCGAGGTGATTCCATAAGTATTTTTTTGCCAAACATGGGTCGGAACTCCAAATAGAATCAACACCCTTTTAACCTACCTGTTATAGAATACAGTGTGAATTGTGATATCAATGGTACGATATTCGTGTAAGGTTTATCAGTTTCTTTTTTCAAAACATCAACTAATCTCCTGGTTTCGTTGTTGAAAATTGAAATGAACTGTTGTAAAATTGTAAAATGAAATGCTGGAGTCAAAATTTTTCGACGAACATGCCATTTTTTACCTAAAAATTTGTTTTTCTGGTTTTATGTTTATTAGGTATTTATCGGTCAAAAAATGCTTACCTGTGCTTGTTAGCAAGCCTTCTCCTAGCCAGCCGTTTAGAAAAAAATACTCTGGGCTCTTTTTGATGTTTTTTGTGGTAGATGCAATTTTCTATAAAGCAATACAAAAAGTAGTTAAAAATACACGATTCTGCAATCAACTATTTCGAGAAAACTTGCAGATTGCGTTGCTTTTACCTCGTATTTTTTAAAATTAAATAGAGATTTATATAAATATCGTATAAATTAATTTTTACCTCAAATTCTTCTGCTCCAGTGACATTAGCAGATACAAACAATGTTGTAGCAGACAAAACATACAAAGGGGCATGTTGCTTTCCCCATTGTCGTAATTTCTTAAATAAATAACCTAAAAAATATAGAAATCTGAAAAATGTTACAGGTTGTATACTGGGTAGGGAAAATTTTATTAAACACAATGGGGATTTCGTTAAGCGTTGTAGATATAAAGTTGGTTAAATGGGAATTTATTGGTTCGTACAGAAGTAAAATTTCAGATCCGGTTTCCTAGATGTTTCGGCTAAAACAGTAATTGGCGATTTTCGTTTTATTTATTTAACATATTTGTTTTTAAAATTTAGAATCCATTTTTGTAGTACGTCAAATGTCGTTTAAAAAAAGATTAATTTTTTAAAGTACACATCTATATACTTTTTTCGACACCCACATGGATATTAGTTTATTACGCACAGATTACAAAACGAAAAACTATGCTATTGTCTTCAACTGAACGAATATATTTCATATCCATTCTAGGTAGTGCAAAAAAAAATGAAATCCACCAATCACCGTTCATATTTTGATCAACCGACTGCTATTATTTTTAAAATTTTAAATAAGTGACAATTCTGTCAAACTAATTATGAGGATATTTTTTAGTTATTATGAATAAACATACATTAAAATGGGTTAATCTTGTGTACAATCAATAAATAATAGCATTTCTGTTTTTATTTCGTCTATAATAATTATAAATAATTTGTTAATTTAAATAAAACTATATTAAGTCAATGTAATTACTAGTATTAAAGCAACAAAAATAAAAGAATAGGTGGTCCTGTGGTGAGCGTTTTTGCCTTTCACACGAAAGACTCGAGTTCGATTCTCGGATGGGGAAAAATGAAGTGAACTTTTTTTTTTCGTTTATTTTATTTTAAAAATTAATAAAAGTCGTAAATTATTTTAAAATTAGTTTTTTTGTCTTAATTATCTAAAATATTTTTTATTTGTAAATTTTCGTTATGGGGTCATGGAAAAAATATACTGTACAACTCAAGTGGATTGTCCACATCGCACTCAGATGATTTCGTCTTCGTGCGATATGGCCATCATATCCACTCTTTTTGCACAAACTACTATTTTATCTTATTTATAAAATGTGCATATTTCTCTATCCAACCATATATCATACTAATTTATAATTAAAATTTGACGATCATTTGTACTTTAAAAGACGATTCCTTTCATTTTCATCCCGAATGTTTTTAAACCGTCTTGGACTACTTTAATTTGAATTTTCAAAGAATTAGCACATAGGAAAGAGCAAAAAATGCAAACTAGTTTTGAAAACAAAAATCTTTATGCAAAATAGTTGTGGACGATACAATTAATAAATTTTTAATTCCTAAATTTTTAACAAGATGGTTAGAAACGTATGGATACAGAGAATGGCCTCCGCTGTCTCAAGATGTAATTCCTTGGATGTGAATAAAAATCAATTTGATTTTATTTCACATTGCTATAGAACTTTTAAAGTAACAATATTGTTACACATATTAAAGTTATAAAAACATGATCGTTTAAGTTCGTATTCTGACCAATTAGTCTGACATCGTTTTCCATGAAGACATTAAAAGGGCTATACGGAAGGTACATAAGGGATGCGGTGATTAAAATAACACCACTACACCCAAACCAACATACATACACCCTAGGCAGATCTACTGAATCAGCCCTTCATCTAGTTGCTGGCCGGAGAGAAAGATCCCTAAATAATAAGGAGTCCGCCTTGGGTGTTTTTATAGACATAGAAGGTACTTTTGATAAAATCACCTTCCCAAAATAATACACTCACTAACCAACAGGAATATTCCTTAAATGGTTAGCGGGTGGATACATAACATGCTCTCAAAGCGAGCAGTAAACATAAGTGTAAAAGATGTGAATATAAGAGGTTTGGTTGAGAGAGGATGTCCACAGGGAGGGATGCTATCACCTCTACTGTTGAATATGGTCCTCGACACCCTCATCAGCCGCCTCAATAATGACAGTCACTACACAATAGCATATGCAGATGACCTGATCATTCTGCAAACAGGGAATTTTGAGAACATACTCTGCGAAAGAATGCAAGTAGCTCTAAAAATTATCGAACAGTGGTTCAAGGACCATTAACTGTCTACCAATCCTAATAAAACAGAAATGGTCCTTTTCACAAGGAAAAGATTGAAAATGGAATTAAACCTCTAGAACTCCTAAACACAAAACTAAACTTTGCAACAGAGGTGAAGTACCTAGGTCTCACCTTTGACAGCAAATTAACATGAAACTCGCATTTAGAAAACAGAGTTAAAAGAGCATACATTGCTTATGAACAATGCCGCCGAACCGTGGGGCGCACCTGGGGTTTCTATCCCAGAGTCGTCGCATCGACTTACACGGCTATCATAAGACCTAGGCTAACATACGGTGTAGTTGTCTGGGTACTGAAAACCCAAAAATTAACAGCTATCCGTAAACTAGAACAAATTCAAAGAACAGCAGATCTCAACATAACAGGAGCCATAAAAACAACCCCGACCAGAGCCATGGAAGTCATTCTTTGTCTCACTCTTCTTGATATTTACATCAAGGAGGTTGCTTTGACGACAGTGACATGCCTCCGCACGGGTGGAATAGAACCTGATGTGACGTCGCTTTTGGCAGGAGGCGCTCGATACGCTTCCACTGCTTCAAGCGAATATGGACTCCATCTCATCAAGATATATCTTCCATAAGCCATATAAAGTTATAGTAAAACAGCTAGAAGATAGCAGGTACGATTCATATCTACACCGACGGTTCTAAAACAAAACAAGGCTCAGGATGTGGAATATACTCCAGATTCTTAAACATAAACATAAAATGGGCTGTAAGCAATAGTGCCAGTGTAGTTCAAACAGAACTAACGGGATTTTCATAGCAGCAAAAGAAATAACCAGAAACAATATAACTGGAAGGAACATACTCATCTATACAGATAGCATACAAGCACTACTTACCCTGAACAGACCACGAATTTACTCAGGGTTAGTACTAGAATGTCACGACGCTTTAGCCGAAGTATCCATCAACAATGTGTTCACCTTAAGATGGATCAAAGGTCACGCCACATTGAAAGATAACCGTCTTGCTTATTCACTAGCCAAGAACGCAGCCAACCAAATACTTTTTGGACCTGGCCCTTCTATTGGCCTGACAAAATCGGTAGTGACAGACCTAATCAAAGAACATTCCCTTGTGAATTTCAAGGAAAGATGGGATAAAACAAGAAACTGCAGAGTTGCCAGGGAGCTCTTAAGTTATCCTGACAACACTGCATCAAACTAATACTTGACTATGACTAGACAGAATCTGCGCCTAGTTACAGGCATTCTGACTGGTCATTGCAAAGTACGAAAGCATACTGATATCATGGGGCTGTCAGAATCCGCACTCTGCAGAGGGTGTGAACAAGAAAACGAGACCATCGAGCATATCCTTTACGATTTGCTCCGCGTTCTCATTTATTAGAAGATTTGTGTTCGGCGAGTATCAGCTAACACCGGCAGATATAAGAGAAGCACCTCTTGGCGACGTTGTCAACTACATTAAATCTCTAGGTTGGCTCACGAACTAGGAGGTGCCTATCATCTCAGGAGGATGCACAATGGGCCTAATGAGGCCCAAGTTCCGTGGGGGTAACCCAACCTCCACACGTTACATATATAGAGAAGTTCGTGTTTTGTTTTGACGACTGTTGTAGCAATATTGGTAATTAGTTTTGTTTATAGCAACATTATTGTGATTGTAGGATACTTCTATTTTCGAATTCACAACAATTTAAATCACTGGTGTCATTAAATTATTATTTTTCCTGGTTTTTATAATTTATAATTTTTATATATTTTTAAATTATTTCCATAGTCATATTGCTATGTCCAGTGGCGCATCCAGAGTTTAAGTCTGGGGGAGTAGTGGTAGTTATGTTTAAGTTTGAAGAAGCTAGTGGTAATATTTAAGACTATATTTTTAATACTACATTTTAGTACCTATTAAAAGTTAGCTATAAAAATTATGGTTTATTTAATATCTTTCCAGGAACAAGAATCTAAAAAAATGTTGGACCTACTTGATGAAACAGTCACCTAAAAAAATGTGATTTTTTTTAATGATCAACTTTTGGATTTGGTACATCAACAATTATTATTTTCTATTTGTATTTAGATATTTAAAAATATATATTTACTCATTTTTTTTATTTTTATTATTCAAAAAGATGTGTAAATGTTTAGAATAAAAATGGAATAGGGGATCGTATTTTGAAAAAAGCCTAAAATAGAATTTAATATCTACTTGCAATAAAAACAATTGAATAAAGAAAAAGAAAAACATAGAGATTTAAAAATGTGGCTGTGTTAAACAGTATTTGACCTTCAACAAAAAAGAGCTTAGTAAATTTCTTTCTCTCTTTCAAAATAATGATTTAGTAAATTATTAGGAAACCGAACCTAATATTTTAATTTTAAAAAAGCCAATCCTTGAAAATTCGCATCTTTTTTCCAATTTAACCAACTTTGTAATTCTAACGGTTAACGAAAACTTCATGGTTTTTGATTAAATTTTCGTCGCTATGTAGGTGGTAGTATAAACAACTATTTAAGATAATTTAAATTTTTTAACTTCTATCTTCCAAGCACTTTTTGTTGGGATGAAAAGTAGATACGAATTAAAAAAACTTACCCTCGTCCCAAAATAAAATAAACAGATCTCCCAAAATCGGTAACCTTTTGGGACCTGGAAGTTGGTGAACAAATTTGGATATTCTGATTCTAGTTCTCAATTTTCTAAAGTCGAAAAATAATAAAAATACTAGAATCCACGTAAAAATTGTTAGATATATAAACATAATGATAAATTTTAATTTAACCATACATTGCAAACAATGGAAATACTATTTTGTCATAAAATATAAATGCTCATTTTCAAAAGTCTTGCTTATCAGAGTAACCACAAAATAGGTAATTTGTTAGACACTAATTTTTACTGTTATATTCAATTACTTTAATTTTAAAATATAATCAGTTATTGTACGAGTATATAAACAAATTTTTGTACAGTCAAATATTATTTTATCAACAAATATTACCTAACTTCAACTAGAAATAAAATATTTCTTCTTACATTCAAAGTTAGAAAGTGTCAAAATATTCATGAAATATTATTTAACCCAGAAGATACTCTCTTAATAAAAAGATCATATATTCAAAAATATTCCATATTTTGAATCAAAAATTAATATTAATCCATATATTGCCTATGCATAAATAATATTCTACTGTCCAAATTTGGTAGGTCCTAAAATATAGAATAAATTCAAGGACCGCTAAATTAGTGGTTTAAATCTTATCGACACTAAATCACCCACGGGCAAACTGTTAGCATAGAAGAAACCAGAAACGTGCTGATTATGAACGAAAGACCAAAAGACGATGTTTAGACGTTTAATTTACATTGTAAAACTATTTGGGTCAATTGCTCCTTAGACCAGCCCATATAAAAATATTTGGACCCTTAACATTTTCAGCATTTCTCCATTGGTTTATTTGTGCATTGAACATCCAGTTAAATTTCATAAAAGCACATTATTATAAAATCACTTATAAATAACTTAATAATATAAATTCACTTTAATATATTTATTATTTTTGTACGTACTAATATCAACTTTTTTGGTAGCCCACTGCACTCAGGCCGATCGTGTCTGTTGGTTCAATATGTTGATTAAACGCGAGAGATGTCTGAGAATCAATGTTAAAAAGACAGGTTAATAGATCCGTGAAATCATAGAAAAACTAAAACAGAAGGTTTGAATAATAGGCGGGAATTGTTTCCTTGTTTGTAGTTTATCATATCGCGCTTCACGCGCTGCGAGCACTAAATAAAAGCCGTTTTTACACCCATATAATAATTTCAAAAATGAATAAATTTTAAAGAAATCAATAATTTTACTAATGCAATCTTTTAAATATCACTTTAATACAATATATGATCAATTACAGGGATAATTGTTATAAATTTATAAAGTTAAAGCTAAATTTGAATATTATGAGGTGGTGTAAATCTGGCTTTGCTAATAAATTAGGTTATGTTATACTAAAACATGACAGTCGCGAAAAATGTAGGTAAGTAAAATTTGATTAATCTTATTTTTAATTTATTTTTAGTTAGATTTAAGTAATTTATGGGTGTAAAAATATACTGAGGTCCTTAACGATGTCATTAACTTATAATTTTACATTATCATGTGCTGCTCCAAATTGCAGAAACCATAGCCCTCAGAAGGTCTAGATACCGCATCGTAAAAACATTTTGACCCCCCATATGATGGGCGCCATGATAAATAAATGTCAATAAATTTTAAGTTGGCAGTACTGACAAGACAGAATCGGCGCAAGTTTAGTAATAAGCGTAAGATCGGCGTTCGACGTATATAATCGATTTTATTATCTGTTGTGTTGTTTATTTTGTTCTTCTAGTAAAGGTTTTATTTAAAACATTATTTTTTAGTTTAGTCGTTTAGTGTTTTATTTTAATAAAAAACATTTGTGGTTTGGTGTTAAATTTTTACAGGATTTTCAAAATCTCTTTTTGTTTTGTACGTGAATGTAACAATGCATCTAACGGTAGAAGATACAAGTAAGGAATAACATTTCATGTGTAAGTTTTCACAAATATTTGTGTATTTACAAAATCAAATAGTTTGTATGTTTTGTTGTAGCATACCAAAAAATGTTAGGAAAGAATAACTGATAGCAATAGGAAGACCATTGAATCATTTTGTGACTTTAGTATAAGCCCAGAAAATTTGGGGATACTAGCTGAAACGGCAAATGTGTTATTGGCTCCTTGTTAGTGACCTATTGTACAATTTTTCCAACACAAGTTCCATGATCCTTTGAACTTGGCTGCACCGTACTGATAAAGACCAATAGTCAGAAAAACGTGTCGACCGTTACTTCTTTTTTACTTTTTTTTATTCGGAAAATGTCCACTATTACTACCAATATTAGTTCCGTTCTAAGTAGGTACATATTATAGTTTGTATGTTTTATGCTTTATTTTATTATATGTAATAAATGATAGGAAATATACTTTTATAGTAAATAAATTGATTAAAGCAATATGTAAGAATAAGTTTATCTAAGGATTAAATTGTTAAAGCAATTTTTCATATCCATTGTTTATTAATTTGTTTCATTTAATTCTTTCTTATTGAGTAAGTTATTTCATATAAATATGCGATACTTGTAAAATGTAATATTTTCTTTTAAATATTATGTTCGTATAAAATATTGTTCAGTTAATAAAAACAGAAATATTTTGTCTTTTATTCAAAAGAAGTTTGTAAATTTTTCAAAATATATTTACCTACCCCAAAAAAAGATTAATAAAACCAGTTAGTCATATACACATTTTCTATATATTTATAGAGGACCTTTTTAAATAACTTTCAATACATTAGAAATCTGTGGTTTTATTAAACTCAATGTAACAAATAATAATAGGTAATCTCAAAAATATTTAAAAATAAAATCGAGATGGGACTCTTGTATAATTTAGTGACTATTCGCCTATGGTTAGTGCACTGCTATATGTCCCTGGGTTTTCTACATTAGAACAATACTGCTTCTCCACTCTAGCAGTATTTTTTGCATCTCAGATTATATTTATTAACAAACCAAGGAATTGTTTTGGGCCTATTGCTGTGCCCTTTTCCAACATTCCCAAAGTTTTTTTTTTACTTTCTGCTGATTGGATCTCCGATAGCGACAACTCCATATGTTGTTCCACTAGTTTTTTATCAAATTTTTAAAATAACTTCTATATATTTATCTTTTGCAATGACTTTGCTTACCTGCTTCATAATTTCTTCCCTATGCCCCAATTTCTCTAACAGGTGAGATCTTATACTCGCTCTATTAAATCAAATTATCATTATAGTTTATTTGAAAATGCTTGGTAGCACAGTTTTTATGGCAAAGGTCCATATTTTTATATAATTTTGCTATTATTCATTTTCAAATAAACTATAGGAATAGGAGTAATCTATTAGTTTTTCTAAAAATACCTTGTTACCGATGTAAGTATATCTTTCTCTAGTTAAAAAATTCGAGTTTTTATTTTCATAATATAATATAAATAAATGACCGGTTAACAATCACATTCTTTTAAATAGTACATTTGACATTGAAGTAGGTATTTTCTCCATATTGCCAAACAGGAACAGATGGTTTACTTGTAATTTGAATTATATTACATAAATCTCACTGAATTTCTCTATAATTCTCATAGCAATATGTACACAAACCACTTATCCAGTAATATATAACCATGTAAAAATAACATTTCAAGAACGAGAAATTTTATAAAACCGGTCCTGTCTGAACAGATCTAGGAAAATCAAATAGGTTTGTCAAAGTTTTGTTCTTAATTTGAAATTAGAAATTGTGCGTCTCACTCACTTATAACTAATAACAAAGTGCAGATTATCGGTGTTCACGTATTACAGAACACACAAACTAAAAATCAGTGTAGCCAAAACATAAATTTACCTAACATGGCGACAAGCTTGAATGGGGTCATTTTTTTGTATTGACAGTATACGCCAAGCGGTATCTAGACTTTCTGAGGGCTATAGCAGAAACAAAATAAATATTATTTACATACACTTAATAAGAAATTTTTACCCTTAGAGAGAAATGGTTTGATATTTTAAATATTCCCTACACATCTAAAAAAAAACTATTGTGCGAGGCTCATTTTGACGAGAATGTCTTTACCAGCACTTTGCCTACTAAGCTCATTAAATTTGCCTTGCCTTTGGCTTTGAAAACAGCTTAGCTTAATAACACCTAAAAATTATTAATTTTTCAATTATTGTAAGTAAAAGCTGTAAAATAGGAAAATGTTACTTGAAATTGCTTCAAATTTCATTAATTTTGAAGCCCGCCATTTTTTAAATCGCTTTACTTAGTAATTTTCTACTTTACCGACTGTACCGAATTATATAGTTCATCATAACGCGCTCAGCGCGCTACTGTCGAGGTCAAACCAACTTGTCACCAACTATTTACAGGGGAAACGGCTACCCTGCGTGAAATAGCAGTGTACCTGCTTGAAACCACGCTATTTTTAGCATCATTTTGTGCATCGCACGTAGATTACGTCGCGACAGTTAACTTCGCTTGGTCCAACGATTAGTTGTTGTTCTTCTTCAATGTCACTCTGACTAGGAATCTTTAATTCAACGTTGCCACGTTTGGTATATTTCTGCTTTTTCGGTAGTTTTTCAGCTATTTAGGCTAGTTTTATGCCGCGTTTGAGAATCCACATCGGATGCATCTGAGATGTGGATTCTCAATCGCAGCATTAGTAGACAATTTTTTTTTGGCAGATTTCAGTAGATTTCTATAAGTTAATAAAAAAACTCCAATTACTCAAATAAAACTTCCTTCTTAAATAATTTTGTTGCCAAAATGGATTGCTAAAAACGTTAAGGCCGGGCGATCATCAAAATAAATAATCAGTTATTTTCGTCTAGAAGCTTACTTAAAAATAATCTTTATGATTTATCGATTATTTCGATTATTCCATTAATCGATTATTTCCGATTAATGGATTATTTTCAATTAATCGATTTCGATTATTTCCGATGAACGAATTCTTTTCAATTGATTCTTTTCGACTCTTTTCGATTCTTTTCGATTCTTTTCGATTCTTTTCGATTCTTTTCGATTCTTTTCGATTCTTTTCGATTCTTTTCGATTCTTTTCGATTCTTTTCGATTCTTTTCGATTCTTTTCGATTCTTTTCGATTCTTTTCGATTCTTTTCGATTCTTTTCGATTCTTTTCGATTCTTTTCGATTCTTTTCGATTCTTTTCGATTCTTTTCGATTCTTTTCGATTCTTTTCGATTCTTTTCGATTCTTTTCGATTCTTTTCGATTCTTTTCGATTCTTTTCGATTCTTTTCGATTCTTTTCGATTCTTTTCGATTCTTTTCGATTCTTTTCGATTCTTTTCGATTCTTTTCGATTCTTTTCGATTCTTTTCGATTCTTTTCGATTCTTTTCGATTCTTTTCGATTCTTTTCGATTCTTTTCGATTCTTTTCGATTCTTTTCGATTCTTTTCGATTCTTTTCGATTCTTTTCGATTCTTTTCGATTCTTTTCGATTCTTTTCGATTCTTTTCGATTCTTTTCGATTCTTTTCGATTCTTTTCGATTCTTTTCGATTCTTTTCGATTCTTTTCGATTCTTTTCGATTCTTTTCGATTCTTTTCGATTCTTTTCGATTCTTTTCGATTCTTTTCGATTCTTTTCGATTCTTTTCGATTCTTTTCGATTCTTTTCGATTCTTTTCGATTCTTTTCGATTCTTTTCGATTCTTTTCGATTCTTTTCGATTCTTTTCGATTCTTTTCGATTCTTTTCGATTCTTTTCGATTCTTTTCGATTCTTTTCGATTCTTTTCGATTCTTTTCGATTCTTTTCGATTCTTTTCGATTCTTTTCGATTCTTTTCGATTCTTTTCGATTCTTTTCGATTCTTTTCGATTCTTTTCGATTCTTTTCGATTCTTTTCGATTCTTTTCGATTCTTTTCGATTCTTTTCGATTCTTTTCGATTCTTTTCGATTCTTTTCGATTCTTTTCGATTCTTTTCGATTCTTTTCGATTCTTTTCGATTCTTTTCGATTCTTTTCGATTCTTTTCGATTCTTTTCGATTCTTTTCGATTCTTTTCGATTCTTTTCGATTCTTTTCGATTCTTTTCGATTCTTTTCGATTCTTTTCGATTCTTTTCGATTCTTTTCGATTCTTTTCGATTCTTTTCGATTCTTTTCGATTCTTTTCGATTCTTTTCGATTCTTTTTGATTATTTTCGATTCTTTCGATTTTTCCAATAATTGATTATTTTTATGAATCGATTATGTATTTGACTATAGTCTCTAAAAAATCGAAAATATCCGATTAATCTAAAATAACCGATTTTTGTATTTTGTTGGTGATTTATTTATTACGATTGCTTTTACTTATAGTGTGGCGTAGTGTAAATAAAGTTTTAAACTGTTCTACCGGGCGAAATTTGAACAAAACCCATTATTTTCGGCTTGGCTTTGCAATACTCAGGGTGGGTATAGTGGCTTTTGTATAGCCATGTAATTTAATCAAGAATTGCTTCACTAAAAGAGTAAATCTTTGTGCGAAGTATAAAAAGCATATTTTAGGATTCACTGGCGGCTCTAAGGTTTGTCCTTACTAAAAACTAACCAAAACAACAGAGTAAATTTTTGCTTTTTTAGATTGACAGGTTCTTCGAAAATGTCACGAGTTTCAGATGAAATAAAAACGGTAGTTTCTGTGCTTGTACCATTTCTAGTAATGGATCATCTAAGTGAAGGGAATCAAGCAACCTTTTCATGGCTCAGGAATCTTATAAAACATTAAAAATTTAATTGTATTATAACGGACGATGCCAAAAGAGTTTTGAGAGATATTGGCTCTCTTACAAAGTTTTACAAATGCTAAAATTATTGGAAAAAATTGAACCCCCATTTTAAATTACCACAAGCCGCCACTGATGCCGATGATATAGTGATTATGACACAAGGTAAATACAATAATACAGTTAGATATCATATGCAAGAAGCTTTTAACATAATAGACTGTCAGATAGTAACCGATTTAGGTGCTCCATTTTCGCATACAAGCCTCGAAGAGGGTTGAAAAGTACATAGATGTTGAGTAGAATGAAAGAAAATTTACGAGCGGCTCTTGGGGATAACACATGGAAAATTCGATTTTCTTTATCAAAAAAATGTTCCGACCACAAAATGCACTTATACATTCAAGAAAATATATTTTTCGGACTATTGACGATGTACGTTTTCATGCATTTGATGGGCCTGTGTGGAAAAATCTAATAAAATCTCGATTTTTCCTTAGAATATTACGCCCTTATTTCAACCCTTTAGCCACTTGCAACATTAAAGCCTCTGGTTTTTCGAAGTGTAGTTCTATTAATTAATTATATAGTGAAAACGGCTTGAGTGGAAATATGGGCAACAAATAACCTTTCATTTTTGTTGGGGAAAATCGAATTATCCATGTATTATCCCCAGGAGCCATTGGTAAATTTACCTTCAACACTACTTAAAATCGATGTACTTTTCAACTCTCTTCGAGGCTTGTATGCAAAAATGGGGCACATAAACCTGTCACTATCTGACGGTCTATAATGACAAAATGTAAATAAAATGAAGGAATAAAAATTAGTCCCAACTAGTCTACCATAATTGTATTCACGTGCCAGTAGAAAATTAAAGAGACTAGGACCTCGAAACCTACGAGGTAAAAACGTACAACTAAAGGAGGAGATAAAGAATCTTGTAGTTACAATTGACTGGGAATTTACCTGAAAAGAACGATAAGGAAATGGAAAACATCACTAGTCATGACAAGAGACTCCGTTGAAAAAATAGATATTGTCGTGCTATTTTCGACTAGCCTGCTCCTGCTCTAATTCCTTAAATCTATTTTTGCCATATTTGGACCTGTTTCCCTATACCAAAAATTCTCGATGAAATAGGTGAACCTCCGAAATCCCGTAACGCCCATTCTTTTTTATTTTTTTAAGAAAATTTATTGAGTTGATAGTCCGTAAATAAATTTTGTATATATCGGGTAGTGAATTGAAAACTTTACTACATAATTTAATTTTGAATTTTTGCTCCTGTTATGTATTTATGTTTTGTCTATTTTAAAACATTTATATTTTTGTTGGTATACAACAAGATATTAAAGATCCAGTTATTTTGTTTTTTGGAACAGTAGATTTGATGGGTAAGTATTTTTGTTTAAATAAATTACATTTATTATTTTTTTTTTGTAATATTTCATGATTTTTTAGATAGGTCTTATTTGCTGCACCCCTCGATGTTATAGCATATCTTATTCGAAATTCTACCAAACTAAATTAAATTATGAGTACTACCTATAAAATTTTGAAATATTTAAATTTATATAAAAATGTTCTTAGATTATTAAACGTATTATTTATATGGGCATAAGTGACACAATCAATACTTAATGCGACCATACACTGACTATTCTACTTTGTCCAATTCATTGTAAAAAGAAGGGTCAACATTTAGATTTCCATGCCTGTAGATATATTGTTAAAAATTATTTTTGAACGATACTGTAGGTATATCTAGGTATAGGTTTACAGAAAAAATAACAGCCATAAACGAAATTAAATATTAATAAAAAAAAAAACAGTAGCTAAAAACCAATAAATATTTAATCGTAGAAGTTCATCAAACACAAATTAGATTTCTCCATTTAATAACTTTTTATCGAACAACCACTCTCCTAAGTCACCGTGTTGCTTCATCATTTTTTCCAAACTCGACGTCTTCCCGGCGATATCTCTTTGCCCATGGTATTGTTCCTCTAAAAACTCACCAATCAAATAATCATTCAAGTGGTAATCGTTGAAAGTGGTACCACTTTCACAAACTTCAATTATTGATCGTATTCTTCTTGTAACCATAGCTTCGAGCTTCAAAGCATCTTTCAAAGCACTTATTCCATTAGGCCAAGATGTTTTAGCTGGTACTAAATTTCTTTTTATTAAACTGCTTGCGTCTACTGTTAAACCTCCTCGCATTAGTAAGTAAGATATTAGGTTGATAGCGTGCTGCCTTTCTTCGCTAGCTGCTTTGAAGAACAGCTGCGCAAAACCAGGTCTGTTTAAAGTATCTTTAGAAAAGAAGGCACCCATCGCCATGTACTGCATTGAAGCCTTTAGTTCTTCTGTCACTTGGGTTCTCATCTTTTGTACGCAGAGTCTGTTCATATCTATCCAGTCTGTGGGTATGTCTAGCTCTTGGTTAGTGCATGGTACGTCTAAAGTACTAACAGTTGCAACCAGAACTATCACTGTAGTTAACGTTAAGTGCTTCATTATCTGGTTTTTACTCTAATATATTGAGGTACGTAATACGAAAACTTCTACTAGTGACTGACAAAAGGAACTATACTAAATATAATATGAATCAATGCGATTATTGTCTTCTCACGTTTGGGTTTATCTCGGTACGCGACTGAATGATAAAAATATTTGAAGAGTTTTATTTGAATTGATTAATAATTTTAACGTTCTTAGATAAATAGAAGATTGGGTCATATTTATTTATCTTACGATTGAACTTTGCATTATAATGTTGATCAATATACATAATAGTTTTATGTAAAAAAAATAAATTTTGGCCTAATGGCCTTAAGTCTACACACAGTGTGTGCGCTATTATGGTGTAATTACCACCTTAATCAAGGGCAGCTCCTGAAATTATTTTAGAAGGGGACCATTGTCATTAGCCATTCCCTTTTTTAGCATATTTTTTCATAAAGAAAAGCATATAAATTGGTGGATATAATTGCAGAAGGACCTTATCTTTTAACATGGGATCCGAAACAACATAGTTATTTCTGCCTATATACCAGGAGTATACACGAAAACTTAATATTGAATTATTTCTGGTACTTTTGAAGATTAAAACTTGAAATTGTGTGTGGTTGTTCAGTATTAATAGGGACATAATGATCAGTGTATATCATAGCAACCCATCAGAGTACCCGCCATCCCAGTCCATGATTTTAAATAAAACCCTGTATTTATTTGTTGATTTTGGAACAAACTATTTTTTCTTGATATATCTATGTGAAAAAAATAATAGCTGATATACATTATTGGAGAAGTCTACAAACGATAAAAAACGTGAGGTTAAAAAGAAAAAATGGATTTCAAACAGTCCAATAGTATTTGACAAAAATTTAAGTAAAAACTATGAAAAATTTAAACAAAAGTTCGAGATATACATAGTAGCGAACAGTCTTCAAAGCAAGACAGACGAGCGCAAGGTTGCAATATTTCTTAACTGTGCAGGAGAAGAAGCTCTAGATGTTTTTAATACGCTAAACTTAAGTGAAGAAGACAAAAAACAATATCGAAAAGTAGTGGAAGCAGTTGATAGTTATTGTAAGCCAAGGTCAAATAAAACATATAATAGGTATGTGTTTTTCTCGAAGGCACAAGCAGAAGGAGAAAGCATTGAAAATTATATAAAAACATTAAAAGTTTTGGTAAAGAATTGCAACTTCAGAGAGCAACAAGAGTCACTAATTAGAGATCGCTTGGTACTAGGAGTTAATGATGATAAGTTGCAAGCAAAGGTGCTAAGTAAAACTAATTTAAATCTGGAAATGGCTGAACCAATTTGTTTAAGCACAGAACCGAATAAAAGGCAGCTGAAAGAAGTAATAGAACGAGAAGAAGTATGTGCAATAAAGAGAGAAACAACCAAAAATACAATGAATGAGAAGTGGGCCGAAAGAAGAACTCAAAGTTGGAACAGAAGAGAAAATAATAAATCTCATTCGACTGTTGGAGGTGTGGAAAAAGACACACCAGGGGAAGATGTTATGCGTATAGCAAAAAGTGTAATAAATATGGCGAACTCGGGCATTTTGCATTTGCATGTAATAATAATAGAGGAAGTCAAAGACATATAGTAAGAAGGTCAGTAAATGAAATCATTGATGAAGCTTTTTATAGAAACAATTTCTTTAGATAAGTTAGAGAGTAATAACAGTAAGTTAAATGAGTGGGAACAAATAGTTGTTAGAGAGAATGAAATAATAGCATTAAGGATAGATACAGGGGCACAGTGCAATGTATTACCTTTAAACAGTGGCGGTTCGTGGTAATTTAAAATGAGTGTTTACTTTTTCCAATAATTTTATCATTTGTAAGTTCGGATCAAAACTTTGTACAAGAGTCAATATCGCTGTTTTTTTTTATTATTTGAGTTTGTATTAAGTGTAGTTATTATTATCAACATCATACTGTTTTCAAGCACTACAACTATTAATAAATGAATATTTTAGTTAGTGTGATATTTGTTTTGTTTTTAATACGTTGAAAACCATCTATAAACATTAGTTAGTAAACTGACTTTTCTTCATAATTTGAGATTATTTTTAAATATATATCAGGCTATGTAGAAGGCTTGACATTGATTTTGTGTAAAAAATTTTATATGAAACTTTACGTACCATTTTGTAGTTTTTATTGTAAGTTTAATCATTTTCACAATTTGTCACAGATATCAAATAAAAAATATATTTTTGAAATACCTTTTATTGGCAAATAAAATAAGAACTAAAATGTTTTAAATGTTTATTTTATAGGATCAGTCCCATCACAATACATAATATTACACACACACAAATTAAAATAAAGATATATAATGCCTGGAATTTTAAATGATACTCTTCGCAGTTTAAGAGATTCCCTTAACCCCCATTTTCAAGCAGATTGTTTTCACAATCAATAGGCCTCATCTCCTTATAGAGCTTGATTTTTACTAAAAATTTCATGCAGACATCGCTTTTTATTTTTGATTCTTTTTTTTTAAATTTCAACCCCCCTTAAATCCCCCATATTTAATCAGATTTTTTTATAATAAAAGGCCTTCTTCTCCTTTTAGAGGTTGATGTTTGCTAAAAATTTCAAGTTTATATCATTTTTTGTTTTTCAGTTACGATTTTTTTTTATATTAACCCCCTTTAACTGTCCAATATATTCATATTTTTTCATTATTAATAGGCTTTATCTTCTTATAAAGCTCATTTCTACTTAAAATTTCATGTTGATATCACTTTTCGTTTTTAATTTAGGATTTTTTTTTAATTTCAACCCATCTTAATCACCTACTTTTAATCAGATTTAAATCAATAGCCTCTGTCCCCTTATAGAGCTTGATTTTTGCTTAAAATTTTCAAGTTGATATCATTTCTCATTTTTGACTTATCGTGCAGACAAAAAACGTGACATCGGACAGACAGGCAAAGTAAACCTATAATACTCCTCACAGAATACTGTATGAAGAGTAGAAAAAAAATGTATAAGGTAAAATAAACAATTTAAAAAGGTCAACAATAATATTCAACTTCTTTTATCAAAGGATACTAAAAGTTTGAACTAAACTAGTGAGATACACATCGTAAAATGTTATCACACTTAATTCTCCATATGACCCTTTCTAAGTGTATTTCACAGCACATTCCAAAGTATTCTTGCTCTCGCTATGTCCTACCCTTATAGCAGACTTTTGCATGTACATGTTTACTAAAAAATAATGTGTTTTAATAAATAACAAAATAGTAGTATTTTGTCTAAATAGGTAAATCGACTTCATCTGTATTTTCAAATTATTGTTTAATTGTAGATAATATATTAATGTTTTGATATGTATTTACAGGATTGATTAGCCAGAGCATGTAGATATGTGGGATGTGACTTGTTAAGTGCATAATCAAAATCACAATTTATGTTTGATACTTATTGCTTTTTTTCGAGACATACTTTATTACCAACTGTAAACTAATTTACCAACAGCCTTATTTTTATTTAATACTTAAAGTGATCCGAATTACCATAACATCTAATATTTTTGAAAATACTAAATTATACGAACAAGGCAATAACAAAAAGGGCATTAAAATAAAAGATTTCTGGTTTGTATGCAACAAACGATCTAGCTTAAAGGGCAACACCATTGATAATTACAACAGGCAAACCCAAATTATATAGGTAAATTATTTAAATGTACATACCATTTCTTAGGTAAAATTTCTCCAGTATATTAAATTAACTGGTTGATCCTTTTTTCTGATTAAGACTTTTAAAGTGAAAAACCATTTGTCTCTTTATCTTTATTAAATTTTTATTGTACATTTCCATTTCCATAACGATGTCAAGTAGTTACCTCATCAAATTAATTAAATTTTTCCTTTTAGCGGGTTTTGTGAGAAAAAAAAATACAATTTTTTTGCTTACTTCTTCATAGTATTTACAATTGAGTACAAAATAGACAATTTTGAAGTAGTCTTTGGATGGTCTTAGACACTGAAACAAAATATAAAACAAATTACCGTCGTAAAACTTTATTGTAGGTAAATAAATCAACATAACCTTAAAAATTTTAATTTACCTTGCCTTTAAGAAGTCTTTCGGGAACAATCGTTGAATTGGCATACATACTTTCAATTTATTGAAGACACAGTTTTTAATTAAACACATTTTTTAAATAAGCACAATTAAAATAATCTTATTTTTTTATTTAAAGTATTTAATAGCAGAGAGGAATGACACTAATGACAGTGACAGTTTGTTTTATTTGGTACAGTGTTGCCAGAATTTGTTTTTGTTATGTACCAGATTTGTCTAAAAAATGTACCAGATTCCTTAAACGTATCAGATTTTTTGAATTCTATTTGCAGTGATATCTATTTCATTAAAAGGGAAAAAGGGGGTCTTTATTGATAACGAACCCAAACAAGGAACACAAGGTATATACGGAGTGGCCCAAAAGTCTGGAAACGGCCAATTATCTCGTAAATTGCTAGTCCTAATTGTACAAAATTTGGGGTACACCTATTTTGGGATACGGAGATTCCAGATTTGATATTTGCAGTGTTGCCAAATTTTCCTTTTCTCTTATATTATTAGTCACTTTGGTTTTTCAAATTGATCACCCTGTATATTAAGTCATTATTGGAATTTCCTATTCAATATGAGTTCACCTATATGCAACACTTATGATTTTATGTAGTCTGGAAGGTCTTAAATAAATAAAACAATCCTGGAGAAATGTGGTAAATGCACTCTATCATCGATTAGGGTACTGTCAACTCACAAATGAAGCACATTTTGAACACTTGATAAAGTAACCATTATGTTAAAAATGGTGTAATCTTTCAATTGTTACGTTTTAATGTAGTTGAAAATAGTTTGTATTAAAAAATGTATGAGACAATTAGGCGTTGCCAGAGTTTTGTTTTATTTATTTAACACCTTCTAGACTACATAAAATGATAAGTGTTACATATGGTTGAACTCGTATTGATTAAGAGATTCCAATAATGACTTAATATACAGGGTGATCAATTTGAAAAACCAAAGTTACTAATAATATAAGAGAAACGGAAAATCTGGCAACATTGCAAATATCAAATCTGGAATCTTCGTATCCCAAAAGAGATGTACTTCAAAGTTTGTGCAATTAGAACTAGCAATTTACGAGATAATTGGCCGTTTCCAGACTTTTGGGCCACTCTGTATTTTACACGTGAACACTGATGCACTCAGAAAGTACTACATCTAATATAATTATGAATTATACTAGACTGGCAACACTAGTTTGGCAACCTTGTTTGTGAGCGGCGCGCCAATTAATGTGTTCTTTGACAGTTTGAAGGATCTGTTAGCGTGTTGTCTTCTCTTTTTAGTTATATACATTCGGCATATCGTCTCACTCGTGTTAGGCTTATTCATCATAATGCGCTACAGACAGAGTATACTTAGGTATAATGTGCCACAGAGATACGATCAGCCAGAGGACAATGATGTACCGAAAAATATAGATTGACACGTATGAAAATAAAAATATTAAAATCAAATTTATATTTTCATGTTATTTATGTAATATTAAAATAATGTGTTTTTATGAAATTTAACTGGGTGTTCACTGCACAAATGAACCAATTAAAGTATGTTAAACAGCTTAAAAAAGAAAAGGAAACAACAAGAACCAGTCAAAAAATAGTAGGGTATGGAGGAAACAAGATAATTGCACTAGAGTATATTACTTTGAGTGTTTTGTTGAGTTAGTTGAGGTTAAGTTGAAATTTGTAGTTGTAAACCTTGAAAGCAAGTCCATTTTAGATTTAAATACTTGTAGTAAGTTAAATCTAGTTGTAAAAGTTGGTGAGGTAGATGAAAAACATATACTGAATGAGGCTGAAAACATAAATTCAATTTCATTAGTATGAATAAAGATACTTATCAGGGGGAAGGAAATATTCCGTTTAAATATAATATCAAACTAAAACTTAATTATCAGCCAGTTGTAAGTAGTTGTAGAAGATTACCAGATACAGTTAAGTCAAAGTTACAAGTAACATTAGATAGTTTAGTCAAAAGAAATATATTTGAAAAAGTAGATGAACCGACAGAATGGGTTAACAATATTTTATGCATAGAAAAACCTAATGGATCACTGCGACTTTGTCTTGATCCAATGTATCTAAACCAAAATATTTGTTTAGACAGACACCCTATTCCAACTGCTGAAGAAATAGGGCTAAAATTACAAGAAAAAAATATCTTTACAGTACTAGACATGATGGATAGGTTTTATCTCATTAATTTAAACAGAGAAAGTAGTAAAATTTGTACATTTATAACTCCATTTGGGAAGTTTTGTTTCAAGAGGTTACCTTTCGGGTTGGCTTCCAGTCCTGAAGTTTTTCAGCGTACAAATGAGCAAATATTTGGAGACAGATGTACAAATTTATTTTGATATTATTATTCCCGCAAAGAGTGAGAGGGAGCATGATGAGTTATTGGCAAAGGTTATACAATGGGCTAGACAGTTTAATGTTAAGTTTAATGAAACAAAAGTACAGTATAAAGTCAAAGAAGTTAATTATTTGGGACAAATCTATTCAGGGGAAACCTGACAAAACATACATAGAAGGCACTAGAGACACCAAATAATAAAAAAGAGGTAATGAAAATATTGGGTATGGCAAATTATTTGACAAAGTATATACCAGTGCTGGCAGAAATTGTAACACCTATGAGAAAAATAGTTATAAATAATGTTGAATTTGTGTGGACAGTTGATCATTCATTTCAAAAGTTAAAAAAGGTTGTAACCAATTTGCTGATACTTAAAATATTTGATTCAAGCAAACCGATTATAGTTCAGTGTGATAGTAGTCAAAATGGATTGGGAGGGTGTCTAATGCAGTCAGGACAACCAATTGCCTTTTGTTCACGTAGCCTATCAGAATCAGAATCAGAAAAACAGTATTCTCAGATTGAAAAAGAGTATTTAGCAATATGTTATGCGCTTAATAAATTTTATCAGTTTGTTTATGATAGAAAAATGATCGTATAGTCAGATCACAAGCCATTCATAGGGTTCAAATGAAAGGAATTGACAAAATTACTAGTAGGATACAAAGAATGAGGTAAAAAGTTTTAAAATATAATTTTGTCATTGAATACCTACCAGGTTATCGAATGTACATAGCTGATTTACTCAGTCGGTTCTTATATTAAAAATAAAGTTGCGGACGATCTAAAAATGTTAGAAATTGTACATTGCTTAAAAGTTGAATATCCAATATCTAATGCGCGACTAGAGGACATAAAGAGGAACACAAAATTTAATAATAGTTTTAGGATCATTCAAGAATATAGTGTACAAAATTGGCCTGATAGAGTAATAGAAGACGGAGAGATACAAAAATACTATAAAATCAAAGATGAGATAATTTAAAAAAATGGAGTGATCTTTTATAATAATCGAATTTGTATTCCCAAAGAGTTGCGATACCACATGTTACAGCAGTTACATAAAACATAAGCGGGTATCTAAAAAAATAGGGCAAGAAAGTTGTTCTATTGGCCAGGTATGACTGTAGATATTAAGAGGTTTGTTGCAAACTGTAGAGTGTGTGAGAAGTTTAGTAGAAATAATGTTAAGAAGCCATTATTGCAACATGAGATGCCAAAACTTTCTTTTGAAGTTGTAGCATCAGAGATATTAGATTATGGAGGTCAGTCATATCTAGTACTAGTTGATTTCTATAGCAATTGGATAGAGTTACATAAATTAAAAAGTAAATCAATGCAAGACATTTTGCAATGCCTGAAAATGATTTTTACTGACATTGGGCTGCCCCAAAAATTCTTGTCAGATAATGTTCCCTATAATAGCAAAATGTTTAGACAATTCTGGAACGATTATAATATAGAATGTATATTTTCAAGTCCGAGATATCCTAAAAGCAATGGTCTAGCTGAAAAGGCCGTGGGAATATGTAAACAAATGTAACGAAAGTGTGCAAATGATGATGAATTGTTCTATTTTTTACTAGAATATAGAACAACGCTTTTATGTGGCATTAACAAATCACCCTCGGAAATTTTAAATTGTAGATTACTAAGAATTGTATTACCTGTTGATAGTGAATTACTAAAACCAGAAGTAGTTGATGTGTATGACAAAAAGATTGAAAAACAAAATATGGTTAAACAAAATTATGATAAGATCACATAAAATTGGCCCGTGTTTAAATAAGGTAACAATGTTTTACTGAAAATAAGAAAAGAAGATTTCTGGGAGAGGGGTAAAATAGTGTGTGCTCATCAAGCACCTAGGTTAATGATGGTGCAGAGTGAAAATGAAGGCACTTATAGAAGAAATACCTCTTTTCTTAAACATTCTAATAATAAAATGAAGGAAATGACAAGTGTAGTAAATGATGAACAGGTTGTTGACAACAGTCAAACTTGTAACGATAAGGGACAAAGTGATAGGGATAATCTTGACAAAGAGAAGAACAAAGATCAAGTTGATATAAATGATAGGGTTGCCACAAAGTCTGGTCATGTTGTACGTAGACCAGCAAGATTTAATGAATAATACTTCATAATGTTAGTTACGAATGTTCATGTATGTTTTAGGTTAAATTGTAATTCAAGAAAGTCTCGTAAAACAATAACCATAATATTGAGTACTTTAATGGTTAGTTGTAAATTAAATAAGAATGTTTAGTTGTAAGTTCATATTTTAAGCTGTTATTTTTAAGAATATTGTAGAATACAATTTTCATAGTTTTGAGGTTACTTACTTTAGTAAGAAGGGGGATGTTACATATTGTAATAATAGTTGGTAGCAATGTATTATTATACATGGTAATAATAGGTTGGTACCACGAGGAAACGTTATGGATTGAGGACGTCACATTTTCAGTAATAAGGTTATGAAGATTCTGTCTCTTATTAAAATCATTTAATTCCTGAATCATCTTCAAAGATAAATATGAAATATTTTCCTTTGATATATACACTTTCCAACATGAATGTTCTACCTTTTTAACATGATCAATGCATTTTCTCCAATGTTCTCCATTTACATCTGAAACTGCCTTCAAAAACAAATTTCGCACATCAGGTAATTTAAATGTTGTTTTGAGAAACATAACCTTTTAATTGTGACCAGATCAGTTCATTGGGATTTAACTATTCGTGATTAAGAGACAATCTGAGAATTTCAATTCCTCTCGTCCATCTCGTCTAAAATATATTTTTTAAATTTGTTTTTGTTGCCATGTTATTACGAGTAATTCTGCTTTCAAGGATTTAAGACTAATAATATTTTTAAAAGTCTAAAAATATCTTGTTTTTTCTGACTGTGATAGGATGCATTATCCAAAACAATAACGGAGTTAGGTGAAATTTTTTTTATAATGTTCTGAAACCAATTTTCACACATAGGGCCATCCATTTTTTCATGGTAGTCGTTTGTTTTCTTTAACTCGAACATTAAAGAACCATCTAGCAAAAATCCATCATTGCTTCCAATATGGGATATTTTTAAACGATTTCCTTTTTTTATTGGATTTTTAATCCACAAAAGACCCCTTCCATAAAGGCTAATTTTTTAGCTTTGATAAAGGCATCTTGCCAAATTTTTGTTGGAAATACCCAGTATATGGATTTTCAACAATATTCTACAACTACCAAATCTCAAAACTGGGCGGGTTCAAACTCTAGAAAAATTAATTTTGTATAAAAAAAATAAAATTAATTAAAAATCAGTTAAATTAAAAAAAATCTTCTGTTTCTCTGCCCTGGCTGTTCTGATCCTGCTCCTGCTGTTGGTTCTCTTCTCTGCCCTGACTGCTCTGCTCCTGATCCTGCTGTTGGTTCTCTTCTCTGCCCTGGCTGCTCTGCTCCTGCTCCTGCTCCTACTGTTGGTTCTTTTCTCTGCCCTGGCTCCTCTGCTTTATTTATACCGTATAATGTTCTCTACTCTCTCTGTTTAATTCTGTCTTGAATATTTAATTTTGTTTAAATAAAATTTCTATTACGTTTCTTAATATTTTTTGTTTATTTTTAACTTCTCAATAACAACTATCTTTACAATTTCTATCAATTTCTAATTTTAACAACATTTATACCTCTGCAAAGAAAATCTGTCCTGAATTTTTTTAAATTCCCCTCTGACAACTTAAAATTTTAATGTCAATCTATCATCTTAAAAATCAAATAACAACATCCTTGATAATTTCACAATAAAATTTTTCTAGACGAAATCGTCCAGCTTTGCTAACTTCAATTTTGACATAATTTTAAATTTCATTATCTGGGAATTTTTGTATATTTTATCATACATATGATAGTCTAAAAATTAAAAAAGGAAATCATAAAATCGTGGAGTAAAAAACATTATAAAACATTTTATTAACAAACTCTATTTATGTACAGTTTTTTGTTTTATTTAGTACGCAGCATAACAAATTATAATACATTAGATCTATATCTTAAATTATTAAAGCTTGAAAATGAGTGATTAAGGATTTCTCAACGTAAATTTGACATTTACCGTTTGATTGGCAGTTCGAAGGACGATATCAGGGACCAATTGCAGCGTTTCAGGTCTATCTACAGGTTCCAAAATGAAGTTTCTTAAAATTCCACATAAAACCGCTTTCAGTTCCAAAATAGCAAATCTTTGTCCTAAAAATTATTAAATGTGTAGAGTTAAATAAGTAAATCAGTAAATTTTAATTATACACAAGAAAGATTTATATAGAAAAAAAGTGGGGAATTTCATTATTCATATTGAACGTTTGCACTTTTACACGTTCGATCAGCTGGTGCAATTCTTTTTGGAATTGCAGAAAATAGCTGGGAGCTAAAAATAAATTGCCGCAAGTCGTTATGCGCTAGTTCAGTGATGATGTAATTATGTTTCCACCGACAAAGTGACAGAAGATTTTTTGAGTTCGTTTTGTTCGTTTTGTTTACCTAAATTATATCGTTTTTTTCACTTTTATAAATATATTCCTATAGTAAGTAGATAGCATGTATCAAATATACAATCGTTTAGTTACCAATTACATACCTCTAAACTATTTTTTATGACCTGTAAACAATATTTTGAAATAAAATAAAAACAGTAAAAACGTATATGTCAAATTTATTGAAGTTTTTGTTAAAAGTTTGGTTAGAATTAAATGTCAGTGGAACCAAAATGACATCACACTGAACTAGCGCATTGTAATTATGAGATAAAATGGCTGAAATAAGTGCTGCCAATCACTTTAAAAATACGTAGGATATACATTTCTGACAGTTAACATGTTTTGTGTTGTTACTTAAACTAACTCACTAGAATATGAAAGAAACACATACTTTGATGATTTTCTTTTACTATACGGAGAATGGTCGCACTGCGCAGCTTTCTGAGTGTCTTTTAAAAGGAGATAGAAAACTCCGCCATTTTGAACCCTTATTACGTGTTGCCTACATCTTGGCGCAATATTTTTAATAGGTGCGTTTTAATCATCCGCTTCTGCTTCGGAATTGTCGGTTTTCTTGTTTTAATCTGACAGGTTAAAACGACTAAACCGACAATTCCGGAAGCAGAAGCGGATGATTAAAATGCACCTGATATTTTGCTTGCTGCTGTCAGTGTCAGTGAATATTATTTTTGAAGTCACAGTTTATTGCTAAAGAATCAGTTAGCTCACTCGGACCAGTTGAATGTTCCAAAATAACATCCACTCCAGGGATACAAATTCAGGATACGCAGAAGACTGCTGTTTTATTATAGGCGGTTGTCATATATTGTATTATCCGAGTTGCACAGTGTATAAACTGAAACATTGAGATCAAAAGTGCCGACGCAGAGTGAGCGATCTGATTCTTTAGCTGTAAACTGTGTCACAGGGTTCAAAATGGCCGCGCCCTATGTTGGGCGTGTCGGACCTCTCTCTTGCCTCGTATAGTAATCAAAGTATGTGGAAAGAAATATCAATTATGTAAGTTATATTTTTAACTCAGTTTTAAAAGTTGGCAAACTCACTTCATTCAAATCATTTTACCATAATAAGTGATATATTCAGCGCGATGTCATCGTAAATACACAAAAATAATATTGATATAAAACAAAAATGTTTATATTATATTTTCAATTAAATCATGTAGGTTTATTGATTTTATTTATTACAAATTTCGTTTCTACTCATTCTGTCTATGAAGTAAAAAAATTCATATTATATTATCATCATAAGAAATAAAACTACAAATCAAAAAGACCACACGGTAAACACAGTCAAAACTGCAAGATGGCAGCAAACATTAATGAAGGCTGGAATACCTTGTGCTCAAGTAGTAAGAAACCAATTTGAAAATTGAAAATAAAAAATTAATATTCTGCCAAGTTATAGTATATTACATTACGAGTGTGGAAAGTGGGAAATATTGTCGCACGAGGCACAAGCCAAGTGCGACTATCACACGAGTGTGGAAAATCACTTTTTAAACAAGTGATGTACAATATTTTTTCTACGACCACAAAATAAATTCATCAAAAAATATAAAACCAGGTTATTATTATAATAATTTAAATGTATTTAAAAAAATAATCAACAATAATCGTATTTATTCAATTTTCATATTTTCTAAACAAAAAAAAAATTAAAAAAACAAAAAAAAATTCTGGTTCCGCTAGGATTTGAACGCGGTCGCTCGCCAAGTCTCAAATGGCAAAGTTGATAAGTTTGACGCTCTAACCATCTAAGCTAACAGGCCTTGCGTCAATTGAATGATCTAATCGGTTGTGTGTTTAACAAGAATAAAGAGCAAACATATCTTAGTTATTTTAAGTCTTTTAGCCGCCTTTATAAAGAAAAAAGCTGTTATTAGGCAAGAAATATAAGACCAGTAAGAAATGTTATGCTTTTTTTTGATTAGGAGTTCTTTCAAGGTATTTTTTTAACAGTTTATTTAAAAACCAAAGATTTGTAGGGGGTCACTTGATTTAGATACCTTATATCATCTCACAGGATATATGATTTTTTTTTAATAACTTTTTATTATTAACCCAGACTATATGTATACCTCTGAGAAGGTAGTTTTTTGAAGCTACTACTTAAATCTCTGGTGAAGTAATCCCCTCAGATTTTACAACTAGATACACAATTTACTTTCTGTCTTTAAGTATTTTCAGTATTTTATTTTAAATGAATATAATAAGTGACGTACCAAATTAAAAAAAGTCGAAGTTAGCTCAGATCTACATTCCGAGGCTGATAAAGTTCCTACCAAAAGAAAACGGTTGCCAACTAGAAAGCTGTCATTCGATGATACTGAAGATGATAAAATCGTAAAGCATGCTCGTCCACCCCCAATTAAAATTAAATCTACAATTTTCTTTCTAATATTCTTTTGTCATTTTATTCCTTCTGGTTTCTTGCTCATGACTTTTTTATTTATCAGTGTAATTTATTTTTTTATAATATATTATGTGTTTTTTGGATTGAAAGAATAACTTTTATATGCTTGGTGTTTTTAATAATTCCACCCAACCTTGGGATACCCAATATAGACGTACTATTGACATTAGATAGATTCGTGAAAATGACGTCATTTTGCCTAGTCTAGGACACCCGATATACACGTTACTTTAACGTGACATCGATTTGTCAAAACGACGATATGGACAGATATCATTTCGCTGTGACATTCTCACGTTACCATAACGTTATTTTCACGTCATCTAATGACCGTTACACCAAAAAATCACGTCATAATGACGACAAGAACGCTTGTTATTTCTCTCAATAGCTAATGACCCCATAACTTTTGTAGTCTGTGTGTAATTTAAAAATGATATAATTTTAATAGATTACATTCTCAAGATCTGTCGAAGCTTATCGGCACCATACTACTTAATTAGCCTTGTTGCAGTCGGTTCTTAGTCTAGTCCAATTTTATATATTTAACAAGAAATTTCTCACTTTACAAATCGGATAATGATCAGAATTAATCGAAACTAGTTAATCACATAAAAATAAATTGGTAAATTGGTTATGTGGTACCGATTTCGAGTTTTATCTACTTTATGAATATTTAGACCAAAAAAATTGTATTGAGATCCAGAAAAATGGTATATAAGTAGGCCTTGAAAAAATTCGCGCATGCTATAATTTTTCTTCTATTTATAAGTGTCAGTTTGGATTTAATTCAGATCCGTGCGTAGGTATCACGGACATCACTCATATTATCTTTTATATTTGTCGGTAATGGCCTAGTTAAAGGCATTTTCTGTGGATCACTCTTTTTATTGAAGAACGAATACCCCCATCATGTTTGACCGCGAAGCTGCGTATATTCTTTGACGTCAAACTTTCTGGAGAGCTAAATTATTATGGTGTATGTTTTCATTAATTTGCTTTGTATAAGTATTTGCGAACCTGCTTTATTAACTAAGTTCGTGTACCTGTTTAGTAACTTAAGTTGGCGAACTTTGGCTTTGAATTCCGAACTATACAGACAGACATTTCAATATGAATTACTGGAATTTTACTTGTGACAAGGAAAAAACTGCAAAATAGCTCTAAGGCAAGATTTTTGAACGTTACGTATTTTTAGTAGGGGTTATTTTTTTGACGTACCTATACAATTTCTGGGTCCCGCACTAAATGGAGCATAAGCAAACGGATGTCTATTGACGCAATTTTCCGGCAAAAATCTGTCAGGGTCAAATTTTTCTGGATCCGGCCAATGTTTCTCGTTTCTATGAATATCAAATATGTGGATATTTGTCGGTGTATTTTTAGGAATCAGATATCCACCTACAATCGTATCTTCTTCCATAGTCCTTCCTATGAACGGTACGCTCGGATATAACCTCAAACTTTCTTTGATGCAACGCTCCATAAATTTCAACTCGTTTAGATCGTTCAGTTCCGGGTTCATGTTAGATTCTCCGAGAACCGAGATTATTTCTTGGTAAATTTGATCCTGTAATGTCATTAAAATTAGCAAATTATTAAAAATATATAAATTGTTGACGTATACATAATATATTCTTCCTCATATTTCCTATTTAATTCTCTGTTTCATGCAACCAACTAACCACATATCTTTCTTCCATTGTGTTGGATCAAGAAAAAAATATATGTGGTTAGTCATAACATATAATAGCATAACAAACTAAATAAAAGCTCTCGAAAAAACCTCTCATACTTTTTTTTATTTTTGTCTGTGGAATTTGAAAACTCTTGCTTCTGGTTCAAGGTAGAACCGTAAAAGTCTAGTCTAAATTAAGAACATAGAACAACTGAAGATTATCTGATTAAAAATTAAGACCATTAATATATTACTCGTTTCCAAAATACAAGTTGAAAATTCGCAAAAAAATATAATATCTATAATTTTTTTATTACTCAGTATAATTTTAATAAATTCAGTAGACGTTTTTAATGTCATAGGATTTCACAAAAAAAAAATAAGTTAAAAAATTTTGTCATTGGCATACGGCATAGGTAAGTAACAATTTCATTCTCTCTAAATTTTACGTCACTGTGCAAACATTTATTTGGACTATAATTTTATTTATCTTCTTAAATAACTCTTGTTGAAAACTTTCGCAAATTAAAATAAATAAGTAAAGAGCATCCACTTTTGTGTGCGAATATCTCGAATGCCAATCACTTTACATGTTTCCGACAGGAGTACATAATTTATGTAAAAAAACATCAACAAATTTAAAATTATAGTCCAGAAATAGTTTTTAGACACTGGCGTAAAATTTAAAAAGGGTGAATATGTTACTTACCCATGCTATACTCCATTGGAACAGTTTATTTAACTGATATTGCTGATGGGTGTATCTAATTTAGTTAAATTATACTAAGTATTCAAAAAATTAGACCCAATAATAATATTTGAATTATCAACTTTAAAACCCCGTATTTCGGAAACGAGTAACATTTTACCTAAGCATGTTATTTTTAATCAGAAAATCTGCAGTTGTTTTATGTCCCCTTCTTAATTCATAATGTCTTGATGATTCTTTTAGCTTCCTTATACTATATGTACCTGCATAATTATTGTAATATTATGTAAATTTTTACAATTTGGTTTTCATAAAAAAAAATTTAATCGCGAACAAATGACTAGCGATATACTACACCTATCAGCTGTAATTATATTTTATGGTAGGGGAGCCAGTGACACTTTTTTGTTACACATTTGCGCATGGCTAATTTATAAATATTTTGTTCATTCTTATCTTGTAGAAGATGCGAATAGTTTGCTGCAGACGCACTAGCGGTGGAACTCAAGACAAAGGCGTTTTAAAAAAAGCCTTTGTATGTCATCATATAATTATTTGATTGGATAATTAACTTGATATAAGATTCGTATTTCAGTTGGTTAGTGCACTAAGCTTTGGTTTTTGCATTTCAGTTCCCGATAAGATTAATCTTTTATTTAATTTTTCTTCTGAGCACGTGCTCACCCCTCATATTTTCTACATCATTCTCTGACTACAATTGGCAGTAAAAAAACTGAGTTACCTTCTTATGGTGGGAAATATGGACGAGCCGATGACGACAAAAATAAGTGGTTTTGGTAAGAGATACTGATACTCTGATTGTCGTTAGCTGAAACTGGCGGGTTGAGGTCGCGTCGCTTGCTTTGACACGTCTTATCCAATCGTTTTAAAAATAAGTGTTCACATGACTTGTGACGTATGCTGTGACGCGGATTACGTAAGAACTCGAGAATTGAAACATACAGAGTTAGTTTTTAAGATTTTTGTGCCCAGATACAAATTCTTAAAATTAAATATTATTGCTTTTTGTATTAATTTTAAATATATTTATAATGTCTGATAATGTTTTCGCTATTTATTTTGCACTATTTTGATAAAGGTTCAGAAAAAAATTGTAAGTATGATAATGAAAAAAAAAAAATTCTTGATCATCGAGTGGCAATTATAACTTTTACACAAGTTTATTCTCACGGTTTTGTAAGGCTTTGTCAAGCGTTCCACCACTGAATGGACTGCAGAAAAATATTTATATGGTCTACAAGGTAAGAGTAAACGAAAATTTTGTAATTTTGCCTTATGTGAATAACACACCTAAAAGTGACTTTGGCTCCCCTACTAACAGATTAAAGAGGTATGCTTTTTCTTGTTTGTACCTAGTAAATTTACCTGGTGATTTCTGTGGTTTGCTAATAACATCAAGGTAAAACAAATTGACATTGCCGTTGTATCATGACCCTGCAAAAATAAGATAAATGCAATAAATAATACTGGAATTGATAAATTTTGATATAGGAACATAAACCTTTAAAGGGCTCAGTTCAGGGCCGTAGCCAGAGGGGAGTACATATGGACAATGCCCTACCTTAAAATGCAAGTAATCTACCTTAAAAGTAGCTAGTAGGTATTGCACACGTCCTAATGGCAAAGCGCGGAAACACTGGCAACTTGCAATGTTTAAACTGCTTGAATATCACTATTTTTTATAGCTTTCTTGTATTATCTATCGTCCCTCGCCATCAATCGCCATCAGTCACATTCAAATTCATGTTCTTTGCATGCCTTAGTTCGTGTAATTTATTGCTTTGTAATCTTTTACTTATTTTGATTTAATAACTATTACAAAAATTAGTGTTATATAAGTATAGATATAAGAACTGTCTTTGAAAAAAAGCCGCAACTTAATACTGAAGCCAGAGAAACTCATTCCTCAACACATATGCAGAAAATTCTCAGAAAAATTCTCAGAAAACTCAGACCTTCACCTAGATCTGAGACTGCCTAAATCATCGCAAAAAAAAGCATGAAAAAGAATGCATGACCCCGTCAGTCAATATTGAAGTTGTGCATTTCCTAGATAACCGATACCTAATGAGAAGGCTCAGAAGGACCAAACCATTTGAATAAGTGATGTTAAAGAATGTAAAAGCAAAACACAGTGCGCGTGTGAAGTGTATAGTTCATCAGCAGAGACAAAAGAAGGTACTATTGGGTGAACTCTTAGTTTTAAGCATCTTAAGTTTACCTAAGTTAATAATAAAAATAAATTGCTGGTTGACTGAAATATAGCTAGGTGCAATGCAAAATGTTTTTAACTTTTTCGCATTTTATGTAATAAAAAAAATCTTCTTTAAATTTTGTATCTAAAGTTTTATTATTCGAACTGTAATAGAATGATTGGAATATTACGTAAAAAAAGGGCTGATTGTAACAGTCGAAAAAAATAAGATAAACGTGTCTCAAACGCGCTTACCTTCTGTGCTGCATCATATGGTTCGTCGGATGAAGTAGGTGGTAGTATTCGTCCAGTAGCCAAGACCGGGCCCGGTTACACAATTTATATAACAACGTTTATTATACAGGATTTATAATAGCGGATTTAACGGCACATACACACCACATGGCGTTCGTCGCGGCAATTTCTGTAGTACTCTTCGTCCAACGGCGTTTCACTTGTCTTACAGTTAGACGAAGCGCATGTGTGGGCCAAAGTTTTAAGTAAGCGATTTGAGACAAAGCGCGAATATTTAAATAATAAAATAGGAATTAATTCATTCTGGAACATTTCCTGCCCCGAAAAAATGTAAATAATACATTTTTAAACTGATTAGACAATTCCCCAAAATAAAAACTAAATATTAAAGCAAAAAAAAGGAAAGTTCAAATAATAGAATTAAACCAAAAAAACAATTATAAAATACTACAGGTAGCATATAAAAAAAAAATTAATTATTAGGTAGTGGACACAGTTTTACCAATGGCCGTTTTAAAATAAAATTTTGTGTTTTTACCGTAGCTACTCTGGCTATGTTATCATTACCAAAATGCAGTTGAGTAACACGGCCTAACAACCATTTATTAGGAGGTAAATTATCGGTTTTAACCAAAACTAAAGTACCAAGTTTGGGGGTGTTAGCAGGGTCTAACCATTTGGCTCGCTGCTGTAGGGTATGCAAATATTCTTTATGCCAGCGACGCCAAATATCTTGATGGATGCGCTGTAACAATTGCCACCTAGAAAGGCGATTTAGGGGGACGTGTTCGAAACTGGGAACGGGAAATGCGGTTAAAGGTTCCATGGTCAAGAAATGACCGGGCGTTAAGGCGTTGATATCGTCGACATCATTAGATATGGCAACTAGTGGTCTAGAATTTAATATGGATTCTATAAGTGTCAGAACTGTATAGAATTCCTCAAATGTGAGAATTTGATCACCTACGACGCGGCGAAGGTGAGTTTTAACACTTTTAACGCCAGCTTCGGCTAGACCATTAAAGTGAGGAGCTCCGGCGGGGCTAGGAAACCATTGAATAGTTTCACTTGCGCTGGCCTGTTCCATAAGAGAAAGCAATTCGCGTTTTGCACCCATAAAATTTGTGCCACAATCACTGTATATCTGTGAGACTTTTCCACGCCTTGCAATAAATCTTTGTAGAGCGGCTAAAAATGTTGGTGTAGATAAATCACTGGCAAGTTCCAAATGTACAGCTTTGGTAGCCAAGCAGACAAAAATGCAGAGGTAAGCTTTGCAACTTTTTACTCCTCTGTGACGACTAATAGTTATATTAAATGGGCCTGCGAAATCAACAGCGGAGCGACCGAAAGGTTTTACCTCAGACACTCGAGACAGCGGCAAATTTCCCATTGGGGGTTGATAAGAGGTAGGAGATGTTTTCCAACAGCGTAAACATTTCGAAATCACTGAGTTAATGGCTCGTTTTGAGGATAGAACCCAAAACTGTTGAGCTAGTAAGAAGTGAGTACTTCTAAAGCTAGCATGAAAATACTTTTCATGAATGTGGCGAATGACGAGTGTAGTTAATAGACTTTGTCTAGGTAATAATATGGGGTGCTTAGATGAATAAGATATAGATGCATTATGCAGTCGACCTCCCACTCTAAGAATATTGTTATCATCTAAAAAAACATTCAACTTACGTAGAGGTTTAGAAAAACGTTTGGACTCAATTTCTTCCTGAAAGTGAGTATATTGAGTAGTTTTTACCAAAACAAGAAGGGCCGAATACAATTCGTCGGTGGAAAATATGCCACAATGTTTAGAAAGCGGGTGTTGACAATTGTAGATAAAGCGTAAGATGAAACTTAAAATATTTTGAATAGTAGTCAAAGAAGAATAATTTTCAAGCATAGAAATTACAAAACTCTCATTGTTATGATTGAGTAATGTTGAAAATAATATCATTTTACGTTGTTCTTCTTTGGGAAGCGTAACCTCATTAGCAGAAGATGGGAAGGTAGGCCAAGAACTTTCATCTTCGTAAAGAAATTCAGGACCGGTTAACCAATATTTATAGGTTAAGAAGTGGGAAGGAAGAGCCCCTCGCGAGGCTATATCTGCGGGGTTAATAGCAGTATTCACATACGACCAATTATCAGGAGAGAGATTTTCTTGAATGAAAGATACCCTGTGGGCGACATAAGTTTTCCAGCGATTGGGACATCCCTTTATCCAATGCAGTACGATTTGAGAATCGCACCACGCGCGAATTTTTATAAAGCTAATTTGGTTACAAAAATTCGTTTTAACATAAAGAATTAATTTAGTCAGCAGAACGGCTCCACAAAGCTCTAAGCGAGGGATAGTAAGTTTCTTGGTAGGTGCGACTTTAGATTTGGAACAAATAAATGATACTTGAACGGCATCTGTTTCGTCTTTAATACGAAAATATATTACACAACTATAGCCTCGTTCGCTAGAATCACAAAACCCATGAAGTTCGAATTGACAATAATTAGAATATGAAATTAACGTAGAATATTGACGAGGAATTTTTAAATCGGCAAGCAAAGGTAATTCTGACTGGTATTGTTCCCAAAGTTGAGTAATAGACTCATCTGGAACTACATCCCAATCTAACCCAGAACGCCATAATTTCTGAATTAAATGCTTGCAATAAAATGTGATAGGTGAAATAAAGCCTAACGGGTCATAAATTCTAGCAAGTTCAGAGAGAAGTGTGCGTTTTGTACAAGGTTTATTTTGGACAGGATTAACAAGAAAGAAGAATGCATCATCACAAGGATCCCACTGAAGACCTAAAACTTTTATAGAACTTTCATCAGAAAGCGAATTAAAATCGAGCGGTTGTTTAGCTAAATCAGAAGCGGGAAGAATTTTTAACAAATCAAGGTTATTACTTGACCATTTATGTAGTTGAAAGCCTCCTAATTTCATAAGAGAAACCAACTCAGAAACCAGCTGTTTGGCTAGTTTTAAACTAGAGCACGAGAAAACAAAATCATCAATATAGCAGTAATTTTCGATTGCATGTGCGGCTAGAGGAAATCTGTGTCCTTGGTCTTTCACTAATTGTTTGAGGATTCTTAACGCTAAAAATGGTGCACTACTAATTCCATATGTAACTCGAGTTAATCGATAATCCCGAACTGGTTGGGTTGGAGAAAATCTCCAAAGAATACGTTGATAATTGCAATCTTGCGAATTGACTAAAATCATTCGGTACATTTGTTTAATATCAGCACACACAGCAAAAGCATTAAGGCGAAAATATAACAAAATAGCACATATGTCCTGTTGTAACTTGGGTCCAACAAATAGACAATCATTAAGAGATTTCTGATTAGGTAAATGAGCAGAAGCGTTAAACACAACCCTTAATTTGGTTGAAATACTATGCGGCTTTACCACACAGTGGTGCGGAATATAATAAGCATTGGTTGAGGAAAGCGATTGACCAGAAATTAATTCCATATGGCCAAGGTCAAGAAATTCCTTTAAAAAAGCAGAATATTCTAAATACAAATTTTCATTCTTTAATAATCGGCGTTCCAGAGAATGAAAGCGAGATAAAGCAAGGTCACGAATACCAGCAAAAGGCGGAGGATCACTCTTAAAGGGCAGTGACACGCTATATCGACCATTAGTATAGGTATAAGAATCTAAAAACAATTTTTCACAAAGGTCATCATCACTAGAAAAGGTCGTAGTTTCGGGTATTTTTTCAACTTCCCAAAAATTGGTTAAAGTATTATTAAGTTCTCGAATACAAGAAGATTTGCAAAAAAACGTGGACATAACAGGACGAGGTATTGAAGAAGTTTTTCCCAAAATCACGTAACCAAAAATTGTATGAATGGCATCAGGTTCAGATATGGTTCCGGTAACATGTCCATTTAATAATAGTTTTGGAAAGACATCTGCCCCAAGTAACAGATCGACAGGACCTGGAGTAAAATATTTGGGATCAGCAAGCTTAAGATCTAAAAGATGAGACCAATTATGAATAGGTAATGTAGAATCAGGAAGGTTATCACATATTTGATTAACGATAATAGCATCTAGATATATTTTAGGTTCTGGCTGATTAAGGGGTTTGCACGTTACCCCTACACGAGCGGTGTCAAGGGTAGATGTCATCGAGTCTAAACCTCTAATATCTACGGAAAATTCGGTTTGGGCAAGATTTAGACGAGTAGCAGCTCGCTTGGAAATAAACGAGCTCATACTTCCTGAATCTAGTAAGCAACGATATGAGCGGTAAATTCCTCGATTATCAAGAACATCGATAAGGGCGGTAGCTAATAAAATTCGACTTGATTCTATTACTCCTTGAGCGGTAAGAATTTGATTTCCTAAAGTACTAGTACTGGTGAAATTTGGCAGAGACGTAGACGAAGTAGGAGGCAAGCGGTCCAAAGGGCGGTGATTTTGAGATATTTGCCGATCAAAATGCAACAAGCTATGATGTGATTTTGAAAAACAATATCTACAACCTTGAGTACTATTGCAAGACCTCAGGTCATGAGAACTACTCAAGCAATTATAGCACAAATGGTTAGATTTGCAGAAGGCATGTCTTTCAGAGGGCGACTTTGAAGCGAAATTCTGACATTTATAAAGCGAATGAGTTTCCTTGCAAAGAATACAATTAGAACTAGGCGATTTAGCGCCAGTATTCGTAAAAAACGAACGCGGACGTGGTGTGATAATCTTAGGTTTATTTTTTATATTTGAACTGGATGGCGAGTCCGAATCAATATTATCATAAGCTAAATATTGTTCGTTTAAGAATTTAATAAGACTTTTATAGCTAGGAACCTGACAAGAACGATGTTCAAGTTCGAAACGTAGTTTAGTTTCATTATCAAGTCGTTTAAGTAACATCATGGCTAGAATGAAATCCCAATGTTCAACCGGAAAACCTAAGATTTCTAGAGCGGCAATATTTTCTTTAAAAATATCAAGTAATTTTTCTAAAGCGTGCGGATTATTCGATTCAATTTTAGACGTGCTGTCAATCTCATTCCAATGAGCTTGTGCACATTTTCGTGGATTTGCATACCTCTCTTGTAAAGTATCATAAGCTAATTGATAATTATTAGAAGTTAAAGGCAAATGCCGAACTAAAGAATATGGTTTTCCATCCAAGCAAGAGAGTAAATAATCGAATTTTTCAATATTAGATAAATGAGGTTTTTCATGAACTAAATTATTAAAATGGTCTATAAATGAGCGAAAATTTCTATAATCGCCACTAAATTTCTTTAATTCAATCACCGGCAAACGAATATGAGATGAATTTGGATCTATATGAAAAAGTGTAGAATTATGCAAAGCAGTATTTTGATTAGCGTTTACTGGTTGAGTATCAGATTCAAATAATTCCGAAAATAATGCTTTAATCTTATAAAATTCTTCTAAAAACATTTCTTTGGTAGCATCTTCGCCCCCAGCATCTTCAGGGATAGCAAACAATGTGGCAAGAACATTATTATGATGTTTAAAAAAATCCTCTTTAAGACTATCAATATCTGCGCACCTTACTTTAAAGACATTTTTGAATGATTTATTACTATTCGCTTTATCAGCGAGCATACTAATTACGTTTATTTCATTTAAGCAAGAAGTTCTTAAAGTTTTATATTTAACAAGTTTTTCAACCATTGTAATAAATTAAATAAATCGAATCGCAAGCAAAACAAAATTAAAACCAAATTTATTTGTATCAGCTGATCAAAAGGCAATATTAATGTAGCGGCAGCGGTATCAAGCTCACCTCGATACGAAACACGGCGAAAAGGCGGGCGATTTTTCACAAATTTCAAAAATAACGAAATATACGGTAGCGGAGTAAACGACAAAGCGGTGATTGATAAACAGAGCGACAATTAGCGAAAAGGCGATAATAATAATAAATGAAGGCCACTTGAAGGCCGATTGATTGGAACCTGTGTACACTACCGATGTCGAACAACTTGAGCACGACTCGACTAAAAAAATGACCAATATGTCTACCTGATAAATTTTACAATTAACTCAATAAATTTAATACTTATTGAAATAATATTGTATGCAAACTAAATGATTTTTTTTTAGTAAGAACTGATTAATTTTAGCAGATATGCTATAATTTTGAATAGCGCTTTTGATAATTTAAAAAATAAAGAAAATTTTAAATCGAATTTTTCGCAAAAAAAAATCCCACAGTTATAATAATGCAACAATTTAATTCTAACTGTTATTAAAGTACTCGAAGGACCAAAAAAATGTAATAGAATGATTGGAATATTACGTAAAAAAAGGGCTGATTGTAACAGTCGAAAAAAATAAGATAAACGTGTCTCAAACGCGCTTACCTTCTGTGCTGCATCATATGGTTCGTCGGATGAAGTAGGTGGTAGTATTCGTCCAGTAGCCAAGACCGGGCCCGGTTACACAATTTATATAACAACGTTTATTATACAGGATTTATAATAGCGGATTTAACGGCACATACACACCACATGGCGTTCGTCGCGGCAATTTCTGTAGTACTCTTCGTCCAACGGCGTTTCACTTGTCTTACAGTTAGACGAAGCGCATGTGTGGGCCAAAGTTTTAAGTAAGCGATTTGAGACAAAGCGCGAATATTTAAATAATAAAATAGGAATTAATTCATTCTGGAACACGAACCTTTATAAATTAGAAGGCTTGTCATTCAAATTTGTACACTACGAACTATCGTTTTACAAAATTTTGTCATTTCAAATTTTCTAATTTAAACTTATTCCACTAACTCGTAAATTCTGCTGGAATTAATCTAGTGTATCGGTAGATCCTAGATTCAACTCCTGTACCAAACGTTATTGGTAAAATCACGCAAAAATAGTATTTTAAAGAAAAAAAATTACCTCGAACATAAACGTATTAACTTCATCTTTAATACCTTGGTCGTCAATGCTGCCGTTGGTAATTTTGGCATTAATCAATAAATCCAAAAACGCAAGCTTCTTTCTTTTCGAATAGTTATAAGAATCATTGTCATCAGGTACGTCGAATTTCTCGAAAGTGCTCATCCTTTTGGCGATAATCTTGTTGGTGAAATTATGCAAAGTTTTGACCAGTTGTTTTTCTTTGCGACCAGACGAGCTGAAGTTGTAGAAAATTATACTGAAATACTGCCAAGGTCGCATGAACCTTTCGTACATTATTCTACCGATTTGGTAAATAGCGGATACGTAGTTTTTGTCTTCTTCTGATTCCAGGTTCAAAGCCGTGCCCATGGATGTTTCTAAAAAATAACATTTGTCAGTAAATCAGACTTGAAACACATCATTTATTTGAACAATAATAGAGGAAGTACATTCGCAAAAATGTTTTGTCATAAAAAATAATTCGATATTTTTATTTTATTAAACATATTAAAAAATATTTCTGAGAAAATACTCCCTCTTAGTAATGTTCAAATAGGGTATAGTCGTAAGGTCCAAACAAAGTTATTTACACTTATTTGTTCTACACAAAAAAGTTACCATGGCAACTATGTCAGATATAATAGTAATAATAATAATAATAATAATAATAATATTCCTGTGTTTTAAATTATTAAATATACATAAATATAACTACTGTAGTTGGCGGGTGGCAAAATAACGACGTCTATTTTCTATGCAAATCAATGGGAATTAAAGTGATTTTTCTAAAATTTAGTTAAAAGAATAAAAATAAGCTGAAATAAAGAACCTGACGACAAGTAACAATAAGTAACAAAAAACGGCAAAGCGGGTTTTGCTTCGTTGCGGGTTGAAAAACGGGATATAAATCCGGTATAAAATTAAATAAAACACAAGGAGATAAAAATCCAAGTCTTTTTAAAGCTCCTAGTGTAAGTAAAATAATGTATTTATTTCTAAATAATATATATTTATTGTAAAATAGTCACAACCCGTATCTTACGTAGTGTAGTTTATTTAATTACACAATTCTATAATAAAAAATAATAAAGTCAGAAATCCTGACTTACAAACAACACTAATTACACATTAAATTTAACTTACTAGAAAAGAAAATTTGCTTTTTTATGTTTTTTGATGTTAGATGAAGAGTTACTACTGTTATTTTTCTTTATTGAACTCCAATTTAGTCATTGCAAATATTTTTTATAGGATCCTAAACGTTTAGAACAATGGCAGCATGTGATTCCTAGGGCTGATAAAGTACTGTCTAGTTATGATTCTATTTGCGAACTACACTTTTTAGAAGATGATATTTTAAAATTTGATGAGACTATTTTAACTAATGGTACTGTTAACAAAATAAAAAGAGAAAGGCCGAGATTAAAGAACGAATCAATACCATGTATATTCCCGAATCTTCCTTCATACTTGTCCAGTATTAGGAAAAGACGAAACCACCATTGAACCGAACTGAATTTGTTAGAATAAAAAAAAAGGAAGAAAATACTAGAACCTATTGCTGAAGAAACTTCACCAGGATGATGAAATTGTAGTTGTCGAATACAAAATTACCACAAAACTGTTCTTACCAAATTTCACCATTTAACAAACGTTTTCAAATTTGGTCATACCTAATTTTCATTTTATTTAGATAAAATTAAATAATGTTAAACGTAAAGACTCATTTATAATTAATACCAACAGTATTTTCTGTACTTTAATTAGCAATTAAAACAAAGACTTATTTACAATAATTAAAATCAACAGTATTTTCTGTGCTTTAGTTAGCAATAAACAATTTGATTTTTATTATTTTCATAAAATTTTGTAAAATCCCTGACTAAATATTTTCATTTAAACCGTATGCCTTCAGCCTTATTTAGCTTTAATTAAAAAATAATTAGCCCTACCCATCAAATTTCAACACTTATTATCAATAATTTGCATTTTACTTAAATAGGAATAAATAGTAAATAATGTGTAAATTAAAATATGTAAGACTTATTTAGAAATAAATACAACAGTATGTTCTGTGCTTTATTTAGCTATAAACAAGTTTTTTATTTTTTTGACAAAATTATGTATAATTCCCATAAGAAGTCATGTATTTTGAACTACGTAAACCGTACCAGCGCCCATGCGGTTAATTATAAAAGCTCAATTGACGTGTAATTTTTGGGACCGTATTTTGAGCATGCCGATTCGCCTCCTTATCTCTAGTCTTCATACCAACGATTTAAAGTTTTGACTGCTATGACAGCATTCTAAGATTGGTAGCCATTGTCAGGATTACTTTGTTTTGTTTAGAATATAAAGAGAAAAGGAGGACAATTTTATATTATTATGTTTATTTATCTCGAAAAGTGTCTACCAAAAAGCAGTAAATAAGGTTTGAGAAAGTGGTCAGAATGGGGGGTGATCAAATAAATGATATATAATGGTTTTTTTTGTATAGTCTTTTATCTTTTAGGAAACTTTTAATACTGAATTTGTTTATCGAGTAGGGACGATTTAATATTAGCAAGGACAAGTAAGGTATCGATACTGTTTCAAAGTAGTTTCAAATATAATTTATTTTATTTATTTATTTATTTATTTATTTATTTATTTATTTATTTATTTATTTATTTATTTATTTATTTATTTATTTATTTATTTATTTATTTATTTATTTATTTATTTATTTATTTATTTATTTATTTATTTATTTATTTATTTATTTATTTATTTATTTATTTATTTATTTATTTATTTATTTATTTATTTATTTATTTATTTATTTATTTATTTATTTATTTATTTATTTAAATTAAATTTAATAACAATGGATGTTTACAAATGTTTTGAAAAATTATAAATTAAGTTAGGCACCTATGTGCAAGCACCTGTATGTGCAGAAAGTAATGGCAGTAAAATTATAAATTATACATGTTTCATCAGTGCTTCGGCATGCTAATATACTAATATAAAATTTAAATTGCATTCAATAGGTATAACGGGTGCTTGTCATGAAAATTAGTAATATACAAGACCTTACAATTAGGTATTTATTTCTTAAAGTCTTTAATAATAGGCATAATAGAAGCTTGTCCGGCTAATGAGATACATTGCATGAAAATTAGTGATTTACTAGACTGATTAGCTTTTTAGTAAATTTTCCCAAAACCAAGACAAAAACAACTCGCAAATTTTTAATTACCGATAATTTTGAAAAAATATATAAAAAATACATTAGTAGTCGTCCAACGCTACTATTTTTAAACTATCAGAACGATAAATGCATTGCCCAAAGAACTGGTATAAATAAATTTATCAAAATGAAAAAAGATGTTGCCGCTTTTTTGAAACCATTTTATATTTTTATACGTAGGTAGGCTTAGGCAACAATGGGTGCAAATATTTTTACATGAACAAATCTAATGGAGTAAAGAGATCATATAATTTTACATGGACATATTTAAAAGAAACCAAATATTTTTAGATAAATATGCGAAGTAAGGAGCCCAAATATTTTACGTGAGCAGGCTTAAGAGGTAAAGGGGCCAATTATTATTGGATAAATTGCTCGAACAAGTTTGTAAATCTTAATCAAAAGATGATATAGAATGGTTTTAAAAATCAAGGCTTGTCAAAATCATCACATAGTTTGACCCAAGTAATGCCAATGCTTCACAAACCAGAAAATTCAACGTCTTAATAATACTATCGACTTTCGGTCTTTCGTTCCAAGTTAAATCATTTTTAATTTTTTTACGCTACGAGTTTACCCTTGTGGGCCTAAGTCTCGATAAGGTGGAAACCACCATTTTAGCGTCTCTCGAATATACCTTCTAATTAAAAATTGTAATGATAAAAGATATTTGGAAAAAGGACAAGAACACCAGGAATGTTTGTGAAATAGATAATTTTATAATTACAGTTGATGTGCAAACTTTTTACATATTTTTCAAATTTTACTTCTACAAGATACTGAAAAACAAATAAAAATTGTATATTTGGAACGATTATAAATAAATAAAAAAAAATATAAACTATTTTAATTTTCATTGAAACATTATTCTTTAAATTTTTAATTTTAAAAAACCAATAAAAAGTCTAGTCAATAAAATAAAAATCAAGATTTGGCCTAAAATATATAAGAAATACAAGTACTACATTAACAACTAAAATAACTACAACTTTGCAATATATTGGAAAACAGGGGCGGCTCTGACCACAATTTTGGGGGTTCACAGTAGCAGATTATAGATCTCGGTACAGATGTAGGAAAAAAACTGTCAGTGTTTTAGAAAGGTATATTGTAAACTTTTTAAAACACTGAAAGTTTTTTCAAACATCTGTACACTGATATCTATATTCTGTGAACCCCCAAAATTTTGGTCACGAGCCGCCACTGTTGGCAGAAACAATCAAAAAGTGTACATTGAAGTGTACTATTTACATATGGGTGAGCAATCTATATAAAACTATAGACATTATTGGTGTGATTGTGTAATTAATTATCGACTGACACAACATTCGACGTCCTTCTGGTACAGTAATGCCATCTTAATTTCATACATTTTAAGGGAAACGTTTTATTAACAGATTACCTTTATACTCCATAGTTTAGAAATAATATTTAACGGTCCATTAATTATTGTTACTATTAATAATATCATTTATCTCTTACCTGTAATTGAATTGAGAGTGAATTGTGAAATGAACGGCACCACATTGATCCAAGGTTTCTTGGATTCTTTTTTCAAAAATTCAACTAATTTCTTGGTTTCCGAATTAAATATCATTATAAATTGCTGCAAAATTGAAAAATGAAATGCTGGTGTCAGGATTTTTCGTCTTGTATGCCATTTGGTACCTATATACAAAAAAAATGTGACATAATTTTATGATATTGTTAAAAAATATACTCTTGAAATACACAACATATATTATATTTTGGAACAGATTTTTTTCTCTTAAATCCATTTTACAGTTCACAATTTTTCTTGCTGCAAGTAAAATTGTGGCAATTCTTATTGAGCACAGGAGACATTTTTATATGCATTATACTTCGGAATGCATTGTAAAAAGTTCGTCAACTTGTCACCAAACATAGGTATACACCAACTTAGTTAAAGAGACTAGTTCGCCAATATAACAAGCAAATTAGGAAAAACATACCATTTAATCGGTAATTAATAATAATTTTTTCATTATTTTAAATTCCAATGAGTTGAGTTAAGTAACGTAACACAAAATATATCTAATACCAGAAATGTATACTCTAGAGCAATTTTTCAATTTGGGTTCCGCGGAACTCCAGGATTTCGCAGAGAGGGATTTTGCGTTCCGCGACAAAAGGTCAATAAAATAAATAAAGAAGAAAATATAAATATTAGTAAATTATATCACCCCACATGCTCGAAACAGTCAAGCATTGATTCCTCCAGTCACGTCGTGGATGTGTAACGGCTGGACGGTCGATCGACTTTTGTATCTGTAACGTGTGGAGCGCACTTAGGCCTCATTAGGCCCATTGTACATCCTCCTGAGAATATAGGCCACCTCCTAGCTTGTGAGCCAGCCTACAGATTTAATGTAGTTGACAACGTCGCTACGTCGCCAAAAGGTGCTTCTCTTATATCGGCCGGTGTATCGGCTAACACCGAACACAAATCTTCTAGTAAATGAAAGCGTCGAGCAATCGTAAAGGATATGCTCAATGGTCTCATCTTCTTGTTTACACCCTCTGCAGAGTGCGGATTCTGACAGCCCCATGATATGGACACATGGAGATGCTTTCGTACTTGGCAATGACCAGTTAGAATGCCTGTGACTAGGCGCAGATTCTGTCTAGTCATACTCAAGTATTTGTTTGCTGCAGTGTTGTTAGGATAACTTAAGAGCTCCCTGGCAACTCTGCAGTTTGTTGTTTCATCCCATCTTTCCTTGAATTTCATAAGGGAATGTTCTTTGATTAGGTCTGTCACTACCGATTTTGTCAGGCCAATAGAAGGGCCAGGTCCAAAAAGTATTTGGTTAGTTGCTTTCATGGCTAGTGAATCAGCAAGACAGTTACCTTTCAATGTGGTGAGACCTTTAATCCATCTTAAGGTGACCACGTTGTTGATGGATACTTCGGCCAAAGCTTCGTGTTCAGGGTGAGTAGTGCTTGTCTGCTATGTGTATAGATGAGCAGCATGTTCCTTCCAGTGATATTGTTTCTGGTTATTTCTTTTGCTGCTATGAAAATCCCCGTTAGCTCTGTTTGAACTACACTGGCACTATTGCTCACAGCCCATTTTATGTTTAGGTTTAAGAATCTGGAGTATATTCCACATCCTGAGCCTTGTTTTGTTTTAGAACCGTTGGTGTAGATATGAATCAAACCTGCCACTTCCGGCTCTTCTATTTGTTCATTTATAACTTTATATGGCTTATGAAAGATATATTTCGGTGAGATGGAGTCCATGTTCGCTTGAAACAGTGGGAGCGTATCCAGCGCCTCCTGCTAATAGTGACGTCTCGCCTCACCAGATCTTACGCCAGGTTCTATTCCGACCGTGCGGAGGCGTGTCATTGTCGTCAGAGCAACCTCCTTGTTGTAAATATCAAGGGGAATGAGACTAAGAATTGCTCTAATCGGTTGTTTTCATGGCTCCTCTTATGTTGAGACATGCTGTTCTTTGAATGTGCTCTAGTTTACGGATAGCTATTAATTTTTGGGTTTTCGGTACCTAGACAACTGCACTAGGTCTTATGACAGCCGTGTAAGTCCATGCGATGACTATAGGGGAGAAACCCCAGGTACGCCCCACCGTTCGGCGGCATTGTTCATAAGCATTCTATGCTTTTTTAACTCTGTTTTCTAAATGCGAGTTCCATGTTAACTTGCTGTCAAAGGTGAGACCTAGGTAATTCACCTCTCTTACAAAGTTTAGTTTTGTGTTTAGGACTTCTGGAGGTTTTAATTCCATTTTCAACCTTTTCCTTGTAAAAAGTACCATTTCTGTCTTCTTAGGATTGATAGACAGTAAATGGTCCTTGCACCACTGTTCTATAATTTTTAGAGCTACTTATCTGACTAGCGATTATCCATCGACGACGTGGAATGAATGACGAAGAATGAATGTATAATTAATGGAGAGTGGTAGAGCGTCCAATATGGGCTGCAATGCCACCATGCGAACCCCAAGAGAAGAAGAGCAGGATGGACCCTAAGTCTGATTGAGGGGAGCCAGTGGTTGTAACCAAACTTGATTGAGGGGAGACTGCTGGCACTCCTTAGGGGGGAGCTAAGAGATTCTTAAAAAGTACCCCGCAAAAAAAAAATATTCGTAGCAGAAATTAAATTAGAATTAATCAACCACCTTTAGAATTTACAAACTTCATTCAAAGTACTGTTTCCAACATTCTTTGTAATGCTCACAATGGAAAATTTACATTACTATCAGTAAAACAAATTGAACAGCTTATTGATATAACAGCTGAGGGAATATAGAAACTACTTATAACTTAGACACTTTGTTGAGTTTTGGGCCCAGCTTAGATGTAAATACCAAAGAAATTTTCAATTGTGCTGTAAAAAACTACCATTTATTTGCTACAACTTACCGTTGTGAGGTAAGATTTTTTTAAATATGCTTTTACAGAGAAATAAACTGAACCAGACATACGGATACAACTTTCTAACACTAAACCTGATTTTGTCTCACGAAAACAAGCTCAACATCCCTTAGAATTTCATCGAAGCCTTAGATGAAATGTTAGTCAATAAAAAATAACCTAATGACTAATAATGCATGTGTTTTTTTGGGTGATTAATATACCATTTTGTTTTTACAGTTTTTAATTTTATTATAAATTATGTACTTCAAAGCTAGAAAAATAGTATGTTATTTTTCTGATAAAAAATTGAATATCTTATATTCTCAGAAAAACAATGGTGCTTGAGGGTTCCTCGCTCTACAGAAGGTTGAGAAACACTGCTCTAGAAATTTTTACACTGATTGGAGGCGCTCATTTCAGCCATTTTCGCTCAGAATTACAGCTACAATACGACTTGCGGCAACATACACTTAATCGCCTTTCGTGCAATTGCAAGAAAAATTGCATCAGCGAACTGTAAAGTGGCTTTTACAAATTGTCACCAAATTTGACAGAAGGGTATTACTTTGTTAAAGGAATTTGATTTTATTTTTACTTTTTAGGACTCTAAACTGTTTAATAGTGTTTTTCTCAAAAATTGTTGAAATTGTGAAGCACAAATGAGTAAAACAATGTTGCATTGTTTTTTCTATTTTCTATATTTTAGCTATTTTTTAGCCAACCGACATTTCTTCTTAGTAAACTTAAAATTAAGAGTTTGCCCAATGGTACACAATTTCAGATCAATAATTCAAATGGTTTGGTCTTTTTGAGTCTTCTATTTAAATATTGATTGTTCAGGATCTGTAAACTTCAATATTGACGTAGTCTTGCAGTTTTCTTCGAGTGTTGGATTCTCAGATCTATGTAAAAAACTGAATTCCTCACTAAGTTTGCGTTTACTATTTTTCTTAATATTATGTTGTGGTAATAGTCATATATTTATGTGATTTTACTGGCACACCCCCTAGCTGTTGGTCGTAAAGCCCATTCTGGCTTCAGTAATTGTTTATGCATGTAGTTAGTTTATTTTTGATTAAAAGTTTTAATTTTCTATTCGTCAATCAATAAAATTTCCTATATTCAATGCCCAACCCTTCTCGTTATTATGTGTTCTTTCCACTTTAATTATATATCCAGATTGATTAATTTTTCTGAATTGGAATATGTGGGTATTTTACCAATCTTTTCTTAGTGAAGCTAACTTGAACTGTTTTAGTTTCGTTGAGCTTAACACGGCATCTTTTTTGTCCACTCGTAGGTTTTATTAGTGGCCTCTTTTAATATTCTGGTTGATTCTTCTATAATTTTATCGATGGTAAGTATGAATGTGCCGTCGACAAATCTGGGTACTTTTACATTTTGTGTTTATTTTATCTCGGAAGTAAACAACAGGTAAAGAACATAGTTCACATGTAAACGCATCGTCGTCTTCATCGCATCCACCGCATTCTGCATGTGCCCATCTTTTGCACACTGAGCAGCATATCGAGCCCTCTCTTTTTTGGATTTTGAGAAAAGGCTTGAACAGTGAAGACACTCTTCCTGCGCATCATCGTCACTGCTGCTTATGTCTTTAACAGGAATTTTTGATTTCTTTCTCGGGACCTTGCTTTTAAACTTCTTACTACCAAAAAGTTGCCTTTTAACTTCTTCTGGTTTTCTAGATTCCTTTGCTATTTCCAGCTCATTCTTATAAGGACTGTCTGTGATTATTGAGGTAGAACCTCTTTTCCTATTATTTCTCTGCGTTTCCGTTTTATATTTTGGAATTGGAACAATGTCTTTTGGACTGACGAGTAACCCCGAGCAGCTTGGTCCACTATTTTGAATATCATTTATATTTTAATCAACAGGTTGTTTGTTAGTTTGCGAGGTTGAAGGAATTGGATCTGCTACACCATTAGCTTGGTTGCCATCATCATTTAAGTTTTAGTTCTCCGGATGATCTTCTCTGACTTCAATATCTCTATTAGTCACTTCAGCTGCAGCAAAATCTGCATTACTCAACACATGAGGATTATACGGAACAATCCCACAATGTCCGAATCCATTTATAGCTAATGTTGGCACTGCTGCTCAAAGATACGCAGTACCGAACAATTTGCTAACTTGAAATTGTGATACGGTTCTTCCTCGGTTATTCTTAAGATATTTTTCGATCTCTTGAACATAAAACGTATTGAAGGGCCCCATAAATGCCACATCAAGTGGCTGTATGAATGTATGTATGTATGAATGAGCCACCAGCAGACATGCAAACGACAACTGTTGATGAAATTCCTCTTTCTGTAGATGTGAAGCTGTCCACCTGTTTTCGGCCTTTTATTGCAAACATTTTGCTCGATTTAGACTGCATAGTTTTAAGTCCCGTCTCATCTACATTAAAAGCCCGCATAGGTCTGTATGGGAATCGACTAATGCATTTATCTAAAAGTGTAAAACACCTATCACAACTAGGCTTACTGAAGCCTCTAGCTCGGGCCGCATTAGTAGCTTCAGGAGTGCGAAGACTAATTTCCGGATGTCTCTCATGAAACCCGCTTAACCAGTCTTCCCCAGCAAGCTGCGTTTCTCTGCTGAAAGTATGCCTTTAGCTGTTTTTCTTAACTAAGTGATATGCAAGTGATCTAAGATCTTTTTTAGTGAGACCATAAAATCGCGTTTCCATTTCCTGATGTTGAACTATTTCTAATTCTTGATCCAAAGTAAAAACTAGACGAATAGCGCCTAAGATTTTAATATTCCCTTCTTATCTAGAACTTGTCTTTTGAGAGTATTTCGACTTTGATTGCTTATGCCATAGCCTCAGGATCCCATAATTCTTGGTATGAAGTTCTCATATACTTCCTTGGCATTTTCTAGAAACAAGTTTCTAAGTTTACAACAACAAAAAAATTGATGATGGATTAAAGTGGCCACTCCAATATTTACACGGGGTATAGTGGACACTTTGTGGCCACTTTAACACTTTTTGAAACTCTTGAGAAATATCATAACCAACAAAATGTAAATCGCATATTCATCAATTATAATAGATGGAAACATACCGAATACCATACGTTTAGGCTCTGTAAAAACTCAACACTCTCGAATTTATCAATTGCGGGGCACAGCTGACTGATCTCAACTTCAACACTACATCAGGCACGTGCAAAAACAGAATTGTGCAGTTATCATGAGTAGATGTCATGGTTTCTATATTTCTTTCCTGGTTGACGGTAATGACACTTGCAACGATTCAGCGTTTTACCGCACAGATAACGCTAGTAGGATAAGAAAAAAATACTCGTGACCATTTTACCTCGGATGGCCACTATGCCCACATCTCCCCTATATATAAAAATATATATACACGGTGGACCACCGGTAACGCCTCGGTCTGTAGAGCCAAAACTATATGATTTTTTAAAATCTGTTCTTACGAAAAGATTTATATCAGAAAAGGCAAAAATTTAAAAAAAAAGTTCAATTATATAGGGTTCTGCAAGAAAGTGATATAACAATACCAAATAGTATGAGATTATACAGGATATTTCAAACGTAATAACCATTTTTATATGAAAAGCGTATTGAGTTCAATGACCTGTTTAGTGCAAAAGAATCAATTGAAAACCAATTTTTTTGCGTAAAAGTTTCTTGAAATTAGTCAACATCAGTACTTATTATTTATTATTAGGCATAGCCGTGCTTTCTCAGCGAACATGTGGCAACTACGATATCCTCGCTATTGCCAGGTTTGCCAACTTTTCAAATTCCATTTACCGTACCGCGCAATTCAAATTACCGTACATGGCCCTCCAGTACTGTACACTTTTATTTTGTAAAAAAAAAACTATATTCTGTAAATCTTTTTGTAGGATTTCTTAAAAAAAAGGTCCTCATCATTATTTTAATCAACCCTTGGTCCTTCTACCTAGCTTCTAAAAAAAGGCGTACAAACCAGTCCCTTTTGAAAAACATGTTGTGTAAAAAGATTAAAATATCATTTTTACATTGGACAATGTTATTTTAAAGTAATTTATTGGAATCGGTCCTTGCACAACTAAAGTCTTTGCTAATTCTGTTAAAAATACCGTACGTTTACCGTACTTTTTATGTAAATACCGTACTTTTATGTACGGTAATGACTTTGAACCGTATACCGTACATTAATCGAAATTACCGTACAAGTACGGTAATTACCGTACGATTGGCAACCCTGGCTATCGCTAGCTTTTTGACTGATATCCGGTTCGACTAATATCCCATCACCATATCTCCTAATTCTAGTCGACGACTCGGACAACTGGCTGTTGCACCCATAGATAAATTAATAAACAAGATAAATCGTTTAAATGCACGGCACTGGTAACAAGTGTTTATCTATGGTTGCCATTTTATTAACTTATATATTAGTCGTATGCCTTACCCGAATCAATAAGAACTGTGTGCCGATAGGTACAGTACTTTTTTCAATTAAAAAAAAATCTGTACAGGGTGAGTCAAAAATCAAATACACATATATCACCATATTTTATATCACCATTTATAAGTATTTATAAGTGCCTTAAATAAAGTTTTATTTTAGTTAAGCATTCTCTATACCTAAAATTAATAATTTTGAGACATTTATATATTTAAATGAGAAAAAGCTAATGCAAAAAATACTCTAATTTTAACTGGTCACTGGTTAATAAGAAATGTACTCTTTGTTAATTGCTAATTAGAATTTAACCAGCTAAAATTTATTATCGATTAAATAAATTTTTAGCAATACCTAATGAGACTTTTACATTCAGTAAAATAATAAATAAAAGTAGCAAGCGAAAACTTTACATAATACCTACTTTATTGTAAGTTTATTAAGTGTTATTTTGACAGATTTTATTTAATTAAAAAATGTATCTAAGTAGCCTTCAATAATATTTATGGATGTCTTATAGTATTTTTCAAAGGTCCAACTCACATTTCTAAGCATTTTTTAAGTAACATTCGAAATACTTCTCTTATTCACGATTAAAGGTCACATTAAAAAACTGGGTAGACTTTTATAAAAATAAATATTGCAACACTAATGATGTTAATAATAACGAACTATCAGTATTGAGGTTTTAAAGTTAATTAAAAATATAATAAACTTACAATAAAATAGGTATTATAATGGAGTAAGTCTAGAATTGGTTTCTATTTATTTTTAACTGAATGTTAGTCCTATTAGAAATTGTCAAATGATTTTTTAGTCGATAATAAATTACAGCTAGTTAAATTTTAATCACTAATTAACAAACAGTATATTTCTTGTTCCTAGTTGCCAGTTAAAATTAAACTGTTCTGTGAATTATTTTTTTTTGTCATTTAAATTTAAAAATCTCCCAAAATTATTATTATTATTAGGTATACGGACTGTTTAACTCAAATGAAACTTTATTTAACGTACTTTTAAATGGTGGTATAAATGAAGGGTGGTAAATTAAAAAAAAAAATGAGAAAGTGTTTGAGTTTTAACTCACTCTGTACAGGTTTGTTTCTATTTGAAAAAAGTAGTGCATCGGAATAAATTTTGAGCGATTACTGCAAAAAAATTTGTTTTCAATTGTTTCGTTTGCACTATAACAGGTCATAGAAATCAATACGATTTTCATATAAAGCTGGTTGTAGCGTGTGAACAGGAAAAGCGAGGATAATTCAAATATTACCGTTTAAAAAACCTAACTTTGATATGTATCGAACCCTGTTTAATTGAAATTATTTTTAAATTGTTGTTGTCTTTTCTGATACACATATTGCAGTGGAAACAGATTTTGACAAAATCAAATAGTGTTAGCTCCACAGACCGAGGCGTTACCGGTGGCCCACCCTGTATATAGATATATAAATATAAAAATAATAAGTATAATCATGTCCGTTGCCTAAAGTAATACGAATCTGCCAAATTATAAGTTGTAAAATATTTTTAAAAAAGGAAAACAATTTTCAACTTTGATTAGGTCTAACTTTTTTCATAGCAACATTATAAAACATATTTGGTCCAATCCTCATATTTCGGTCAAAATAATAATACAGGGTGTTTCATTAGAGAAGGAACAAACTGAGGTGCTTTCCAATAACCGCGTTGTAACGTTGGCCAGGCCGTATAAACTGGCAACGGTGATATTATTTGTTTCTTGCTCGCGCTAATGCTAACTGTCTGTAGTTTTCACATGCACTTGTCTAAACCATATTGGAAATCGTTCGGTAGCCGATACTGTATATTAAAACTAGCATGGATCATTATAACATTAAAATTAATAAAAGCCTTTCCGATTTCATTTTGTATCCCCAAATAATGTTCAGTTATAACAATTTGGACTTAAAAATTATCTGTTAAAAATAAAAAACACATCATCATATACAAACAGAACTTAAATTCAAATATATATAAAGGATTGATAAATTTTTGAATTTTTTGTGAATTAGCAAGTTGTGAAGAATAAGTGTGCCAAATGTCAAAATTATATCCAGGTTATATTAGGTATGTGTTATTTGGAAAAATCTCGGTGACCTCCTGTTAACGTGTGTCTCTTTACCAATGAAACTTCCTGTATCTGGTTACGCTATGTCCCATTGGTTATGGTTCACCTTGTATATTCGTTGCTTTTTAATACACATACTTGCCTGTACTTGTCAATAAACCATCTCCTAACCATAAATGTAGAAATATGTACACTGGATTCTTTTCAATATTTTTGGTAGTCGATGCAATTGCCTAAAAAATTTTAAATACGTAGTAAATGTAGCTTCAGTAAAGAATCTATTTGATTTTAGAAGAAGCTTATACCCTATGCTCTTTTTTCTTATAATTTACTTAAAAATTACTGTTGACAATATATATATATATATATATATATATATATATATATATATATATATATATATATATATTGAGGAATATGTTTAGACTGACGTCAAATTCAAGGCATAGTTAATCATTTCGTATACCTTGACCAGCCTTGATCTATCGCCAACAGTAACAATACATGATTTTGCTTTTTCAAATAATTTTATTTTTAGTATTAATCACTATCATATTTATTATTCAATAAACTGGAAAGATTAAATTTTAAATAGTTTTATAAATGAATCAATAATTTATGTACGGGGTGTTACACTGCAACCTAAAAGATTTATAATGACCCTTCCAATTCTATATTCCTAGGAAATGTAAGCTTTGGAATGGCTCCAAGCTAGGCAGGTCACCCTCTTCTATTTAGTATGCTTTCAAGTATAGTGCCCTTAGATTCTGTAGTGCTACCCCGTCAAACAGAATGTGAATACAAGTCTCATCTTGCTTCTCAATTCACAGAATCATCACATACTATCATCTACTTGTCCCAGTTTACTAAGGTGTCCTTTGCCCAGTAAGGATCCCCTTTCGATGTTTTCTAGTGATAATCATCTAGAAGTATCTTAACCTATCGTAACCCCAAGAGATTATTCCAATTGTTGATTCTTCTATTTCCAAAACGGTTCGTGTTCCCCAAATCATGTTTAATCCCCTTTCTTTACGAGACTGACTGCAATCTCGTTAAACAGTTTTTCCTGTTGCGTCTCGGTAACTATTTACCTTTCTGAGCTTATTCAGTTTTTCTAGGCAGCTCCAACCCGTTTTTGAGCTGGAAGATGCTTGGATATACAATGAAACTTTTAGAATACCTTGGTTCTAGTCCCATACACTTCTATTCCAGTTCCTTCTGTGGTTTTGGAATTATCTGAATACTACTAAAGTGCACGGTTGATTCTTGATTATCAGTGGTTTAATCAATAACGGGATAATCACACCATATCTCAACAATTATATCAAAAACATAAAAAAATCTACATCGCAAACCTACAGTGTTTCAAATTATTTGTTGTTTTATTCTTACAAAAGTTGAACCTTGATTCTAGTTTTAATTTATAATTTTTGAATTGTAATAATGAAGGCTAAGCCTCTCTATGTGTTACAGCTATATAATTTGTGATTTACCTCAAAAGCTTCTGGTCCTGATATATTTGCAGAAGGAAACAGAACACTGGCAGAAAGTACGTAAAGAGGTCCATGGTCTTTACTCCATTTCCTAAGTTTTTTGAAGAATGTTACTGAAATAAAAAAATTACCAATAAGTCAAGTATACAGTAGTGCAAAACACCTCAGCTACTAGAACGCTTTGAGGGTACTTTGGACCATATAAAATACCAACCGCAATGTCCTGTTAATATTAGGGACATTTGTTTTTAACCTTTTATCTATAGTTTCAACATAAAAGATGATTGTTTACATGTCACAACTCCTACTAACATTGTTACATTTGATGAAATAATATTTCGAATACACCTTCACTCGATGAAACAGAAAGATGGGGTTTCTGCTATTTTAAAATTTTTTTAATTTGTTTGTAATCGTCCCCATGTTTTATTAATGTATGATTGCACCCGAAGATGGAAAAGAGTTTTCGAATCATATGTAGTGCTGTGCTAAACAATTGAAAATAAAAAAGAAGACAGAATAAACCAAAGAAATTTTTATTTATAATAAATATTTAATATTATAAAACTTCGAACTGATACGCATGTCGGCGAGTGCACCCGATTGCTATAAAGTCGTCACTGTCTGCTGTTCTTAAACATACACACAATCTTTAGTAAAGTCAGTTCTAGAACTTTAACGATCTGCGCATGCTCAAATGTCAAAATAAGATCGGCGCCACACATACTTTGATTATCAAAGTATGTGATCGGCGCTAATAGTGACTGACCTTAAGTGAACTTGCAATAATTTTCTAAGGTATGCTGTATGGGTAGTTACACATACGTACACCGTGACTTTTTGTAAGATTTGTTTCTTGGGTTTCTAGGACCCCAAAACGTAAAGATCTGGTATTAGATCAAATTCTAATTTTAGATTACATTCTTATATGTTGGTTAAGAAAGCTTTAGTGCACTGATACTTTATATCAGCGCCTGGCCTAAATCATATTTAAAGATTATGTAAGTAATGAGGATAGATTAAAAAATAAAGGTTCCATTAGGTCAATGCATGATAAATTGATAAGTGTTTATATCGTAAATCTGAATTCCAAATAGTGTAGTGAGATCACGTAAAAATATGCCTTTTTTATTCTCAATTTTGAAAACTATTAAGGAACCTGGTCTAGCTAGTGGCGAGATAATGGAAGATAAATATCGGGTCGGTTGCGTAGCTGTATAACGCGCTTATATTCATATTTATAGGCAAGTTTTTGGTTCAGACAGAGCTGCTTCGAATCCTACTGCAGACTATGTAAATTTTTAAATAAATTGCATGGTTCGTTCAGTTTCTGTTAATATAACATCCAGATTATAAATCGCCATGCATTACCGTCTCGATAATGGTGGGTGAGGTTTTCCGGGATTTCTTCACTTGTAAGTCAAATGGCACCATCAATCATTTTTAAGTTGCCCTGGAGGGACACGGCAAATAATAATAATAATAGCCGTTCCTTTCCTACACAAGCTCAGTTAACTTCAGGCATTGTAACTCACTCGTAAAGGGGTTAATTAGGAAGAGTATTATTATTAATATTAGAAGAGCAAAAAAAGAAATAGACGAAAAAAATAGTTATTAAAATAGTTAATTTATTTTTCGCTAGGTTGGTGCTTGAAGTAATGCCATCTGGCGGTTCCGTCGAAGTGCTAGTATTCTAGGAGGTGGTGTTTTAGTGGGTAACACACCTAACACCAATGTGAGTCCCACACTTGATAAACAACAGTTTTTTATTGGGTGTCTATAAAAATATTTCTACACCTCAAAAAAAATATATGTACTTACCATCACTGCATAATAATTCAAATAGTTGTCCCCAAATGCCCTTCGAATTTGGTGACGGTAACTTAAATGAACCATAACAAATTCTTAATCTAATTAAAGCTTTTGGTAAAACGTAATATAAAATAATAGCTAAAACGCTATAAACCCCGATTTTAAAAAAATCATACATTTTAATGAGTGCATTTAATTAATCACTGGTAAATACTGACAACAACTGCTAAAATTTATTCATTATATTTAATAATTGATAATATAGATAATAAATAAACATTTTATCTAATTAAGTTTTGTTTTTTGACATATTTTTTATGGATGAGTGGAAATAAATCTATATATTTACCGAATGATAAATATTTTAAATGGAAATGGTAGAAATTAAAAAACTCCATTATGCAAATATTGAAATTATATATATATACAGAGTGGCCAAACTTTAATTCTATACTATAGGAATTGTAATTTTTCGCAATTTTTTTACAATTTAATCAAAATGTTGAGGGTATACAGGCTAAATGGACCTCAAATTCAGATTCAGCGCATTGAAATACATAACACTAGGTGGATCTAGTCAAATTTACTAACCACTTTTTTTTGTGTGCTGGTGAAATGTATTTTATGTAATATTTTTTGCAGATGAAAACGTGATATACATATTTGGAGGAATCTGGCTATTTTCTATTTCTAAGTAAGTATAATTTTTGTAAGTAGAGTAATTTAATTTCTATAAATAAAGGTATCGTTTCTTACTAAGGGCTTTTTTGGATGTTAGACTTCAATAACTGTATCTACTCCAGTATAGGTCTTAAATTTGGAGATTTGAAAAATTAATTTAAATCACTTTTACAGTGTGTTTTGATAAATGTGCACATTGATTTGTTAGGGTTATTTATTTGATTTTAAAATGATTTAGAGTTTACAAGAAAGAATTGAACTTGTAGATTTATACTACAAAAATAACAATTCTGCACGAGCTGCTGCTAGAATTTTCAATGAAACACACCATGGAAGTCATGCAACTCATAAGTATGTAATTCTTCTAAGAAACAAAGAGGGAAAGCCCACTAGCGCGACAAGTCGCGTGCTACCTAACGCTTGCGATTTTTTAGGTGCGACTTTTAACAGACGAAAGCAGCGACACAGACGTTCCATATCAAAATGGAGATGGAAGCAGTAACAGCGGTGTTTTTAAATATATATGTTCGTTACTGGAAAAAAGTAGGTACGGGATTCATCCTTTACTTACAGCATCTAGTTAAATTTCGCATTTAATTTACGTTATAATTTACTGTTTCATATTTGATGGTGGCCTTGAATATCAGATATATAGGGTGTTGCATAACGTACTGTACCCATTTAAATAGCATATTCATGAGTTCAATTAAAATTGAAAATATCATATGAACAAATCAATGACATCACCGAAGGTCATTTTGAAACTGTGGAACCGTACAGCAACCAACAGGAATACTCCAACTCTATCGACATGCTGCACGCGACTGAACATCTGTAATGAGTGATGTATACATAGATAAATTAATAAAACAAGATGAATTTTTTAAATGTACGCCACTGTCAACACGTGGTAGTTCCCAGCATACTATTAGTTAGCGCCACCGTCGCAATAGTATGAACGCGATGTTGCCGGTTTCCGTAAACTTTCATGAGATGAGAGTTATTTCAAATTCAATCTTACTTTAATTTTTTATCAATCTACATGCGCACCATAGCATCCATACAATGTCCATACTATTGTTGGGATTTTTAAAAGAAGGAGATGACAATCTCGTAAAAAATGAAAACCGTGATGGCGGAAGGCCAAATATGATAATGAAATGTTAAAACTTATTTTATTAATTATGATGAAAGTTCTAAAGATCGGCAAGTTATTTTTAAGAAGATAAACAGTGTTGATTTGATGTAATTAGTAAGTATTAGCAATTTAATTTAATAATAAAGGTGTGTAGATTTATTTAAGGACTTTGTTTATCATTGTTTTCTTAACCTTATATAATTTCATATTTCATAGATTTTCAATTCTGTTTTTATATTTGAAACAAGAAATGTCTGGCCCGGGTATAGTCAAGTATTCTCGAGAGTATTCTTGTTCAGCTCCTAATTGTTTAAATAAGTATTATTCTAAAATTCAGAAAGTTGTATACCTAATCAAATATTAAACCTTTTTCATTTTCCTTCCCATATTAAAATTTGCCAGAACTGGTTTAAGACTTTAAATTTAACTTTAGATAATAATACTCGCTATCTTTGTGCGGACCATTTTTGCCTGAGTCTTAGTAGGGTTTCATCAAAACGTAAACTGTTAGTTGGATATTCTGTACCAATTTTATTAGATAATTGTGCATCCAGTATCCAGTTCCAATATACAACCTGAGAATTAGATTTTAGAATAAGTTGAGGCCGAAGCACAAATATGGCAGCATAAGAAAAACAAGAAATTGGTTGCAAACTTAATAATTAGTGATGAACAATTTGAAGGACCCTTGAAACGAAGAAAAACAATAAATAAATAAATAAAAGTAGTCAGAAATTTAAGTCCTAAAGAGAAAAAGTTGTATTTTATTAATATTTGATAAGAGAAATTATTCAATAAGACATATATACACTTTTTGTTTTGTTTTTATAGGAAACAGGGGACACCCAACAAAATATGGTCCATTTTTCCAAGAATGGGGGAGACTACCTACTATTCATTTTACTTACAATTGTTATTTACTATTGAGCTCATGTATGTATGTATTACTGCATAATAAATAATTAAAATATATGTTTCAAATATTTTATTTTAATGTAAATATTTTTTGTTTATATTTTTTGGGGTTTTATTACGAAAAAAAAAACTAATATTTATGTTAAATGCATTATTTTGATGTAAATATTAGTTTTTTTAGAGTAATGAATGCCAAAAAAATGTAAATAAATAAATTATATTTGAATGAACCGCGGTTCGCTTAAAGCTCTTCTTTTTTTATTCTTCTCTTTCTTATTCGGCCTCTAACTGGCAAGTCAATCAGCCAGTGTAATTAAAAAAAAAATCCGTTCCATACTAATTCGCAGCACTGTTTGTTTCCAAAAATTAACACGGGATCCGACTATCTTCTTTATTAATTTATCTATGGATGTATATGCGTGGCGAAAGAAAATCAGGGGCTTGTCGTTCCTATTTTAAAGCCGCGACAGAATCGCGTTAATGGGCTTTGATTCATTTAAATACATATGCAATTTTACCGCGCGCGACGCGTCGCGCTAGTGGACTTTTTCTCAAAATCCACTCACG